GATCTGGCGTTCTGACCTCGGTTATTTCTAAAATGACTAGAATTCCAAATATCTAACGAGCCAAGGTTACACACATCAAGTAGAAAATTGACATCACTTTGTTTCCTTCTTTCTGGCGGGATTGTATCACTCCAACCTTACGAAGGGCCTTCAAGGAATTAGCGAACGTACGAAATATGGTAACACCGAGTTCTTGTTCGTACCCGTTTTTACTACTGGGCCTAATAGTACAATGTTACATTAAGGTCTTCGTTACAAACCGATTCTTCTTCAAAAACTGCGTTATGAATTTTTTTGCTAGATGTAAGAACGTAAAAACTCCAGTTCCTTCTTAGGTCATGATAATCTATTTGTTGGTTTGCTCTGTTACCGGACTGAATATTTCGCAAATTACTTTAAGTTAAAGGAGTTTTTTGCAAGAAGCAGAAGAAAACCTTGAATTATTGTGACTGACCAAAAGAAGTAGTTAATCTTGAGAATTAACTTATAGAAATCACTTAATACAAACTATGTACTCTACGTATTTTCATCCAATTATCGCTGTTGAAATAATATGCCTGGATGTCGCTCTTCAGATTCCAGATTGTCGAATTTTTCTGATCATTGTTTCAAATATAATTGTTTGTATGTAGGAGATATTCTCCTAAGTTCATTACAAGGAACCTTTTACTTTTTCTCTCTAGGACCTAAACGCATGAAAAGAATGGTTAAGATTATTTTAGCTAATCACCAGAGAAGTGACTTTATTACATATTCCTTTGTAACTAAGTAAAGAGAATTGCAATTTCCATAAAGGTTACACCTTGAAGCTGAGAAGTTTGTCAATTCTCCATCTCTGTTTGCTAAATATCCCATTATAATTAGGGGGAGGGGGAGGGAGAGGGGAAAGGGTACGGCTGCACGGAGGCTAGTCAGTCACATCTCTGTGAAGTGATTCAAAGAATTGATCCAGTTTTGTTTAAAATTCGTGTTTCCTTCCCTTTATCTTCATTTATTGGCAGTTTATTTTTTCCCACGAAAATCTGTGTCATTTTCAAATCCGTTCAATTGAAGTTGTTGTTTGTTCTATAGCATTTTTTTCAGTCCTAGAAGATCAAGTGCTTCTTGACAATATTCCTCAATTATTCGAATTCTTTCGACTGGGGAATCTTGCTTCCACTTATCAATATTAGCCGTTGAATTTCGAGTTGGTGAGAATATTTTTTTACTTTCCTTCATCAGTTCTTCTTTACTCGGCGAAGTATTGCGAACCACCCAGTCGGCAATGCTATCGGGCATTTCAAATCCTGCAAAATTATACATAGCTCTTGTCGTTTCCAGCGGTTTTCCGGCTAGATCGTGGTAGTGTACTTCTAAATACTTGTCTTGCCATTTGCCCAGATTTCGGCCAAACTTGATGTTTGCGACCAAGTTTGAACAAACTTTTCTGACTAACTTTCGAAAATTCCGATGCGTCCAGTCTACCATCCATCTTAACTTAATCCGGGATCTAAAACTGGCTCTTGGATCTCGAATAAGCTGGATAACCCGGATGTCGGTGTCTGGATTCTCTAAGAACACCTTTGGAAGAAAAGATGAAATTAAACTGTTGGGTGTCCTGGTTTCCCCTATTTTCGTTACACTGTGTTTGTATTTTGTTAGGCATACTGTGTCGGCGTATTTGGGAGATCTGGAAAGTTTTTTACACTCCCAGTTGGGGCAAAAGTTTTGAGACTGAAAAGGGTTTTTGACATTTGCTCCATTCCATTTCCGTGAGGTGTGCGAGAGGAATTTAACACCAGCAGCAGTCTCGGCGAACTTACAACTTAAAATTCCTCTTAGAAGATCAAGAACGTTTTTGGTCCAATTGGGTATTTGACTAGAGTCTTCTTTGTTCCATTTGGTTATAATCCATAACGGTTCATAAACAGTCATAAGTTGTGGATCTTCAGCAAACATTTTGGTGGTGAATGTTGTGCCTGAACGGCCGGCTCCATAGATTAGGAGACTTCGGCGGCGTTCGGGTCGGGGCGTCGATACCACATCAAGGGACTTTGTGGAGGTCGGAAAAGTCCGTTGCAACCCAGGGGAATTACGATTTGTTGAGCGAAAGTTGGAAGTTGTCTGAACTGAGTGTGACACTGTATGAACCTCGGAAGAAGACCGGTCCTCTTGGTCTTTCTTCGGCCTAACTCCGGATGACACAGAGTGGACGTCGCTTGTAGATCGGGCTTCCGACTGAGGCTTTTGGTTTAATCCTGTTTTGATTTCGGACGGCGCTGGTTGAACGCGGTGGATCGGCTGAGCTTCCAAAGCTGGCTTTGGAATTGAACCTGTGGAAATCTTCGGTCGTGAACTTCTTTGAACTTCAGATGATGCTGAATTGACATCGGCCAATGTTCGGACTACTTCGGGTGAATTTGTTTTGTTTGGATTTGTTAAAAGAGTAACGAGTGCCGTTTTATTCTGAGTCAAGCTCCTGTTTGGCTTTATCAACTCTTTACTATACTTGAAAAGAGATTGGCCATAATGGGAGTTATGTAGTAGAACAGCGGAAGAGAACAGCAGAAGAACTGCGCATGGGAAACAAAATTTCTTACATATTCGAAAGGGGATGTTTCTCTTGACATTCATTTCTCCGCCGGTCGGTGTATCACTGAAAGAACCCCGGAACTGTGAGTAGAAATTGAGAAAATAATAAAAAAATAATAATAATAAGTTTATTGTACTCTAAGACAGTCAACGAATAATTTTGCTGAGGACTAATTTTATCAAACTCGCCATCAAATTATTGCTGAATGCTTTTCCGCTCTTGGAATATTCTTCACTGCATTTACATATGGGAAGTTGGTTCGCTCCACTGGGTTAACTGTCAAATTGGTGTAAAAATCAAGGCCTGCATGCAAGATATCTTTTGCAAAAACACGGTTACTTCACCTGAACTAAACTAGTCTTCTGATGAAATACTTACCTTTGTATAAAGTGCCTACTCTTTTTACAGAATATCTCGCCACGTTTCTAGCTATTTTTCATCGACACACTGTGGAGTCGGTGCTAAGGAACTACATTTTACTGGAAAATATTATTTCCTTATCTGTGTACATCTGAAAAAAATACTTCGTTGTGATTGGTTACGTACTCGTAGGTCGTTCAATACTCCTTAATATTTGTAACCTTTGTTTTGCTAGTGAGTTTCATTTGCTTGAGAATTGATAATCATTCTCGTTTATAAATACTCTCACCTACCATTGTTTTGAAGCAAGGTCATTGCAAATCTGGGAAATATATAGAGGCGGGTAAGTTTCTATAGAAACTGTGGTGCTGCATCGGTGGGGGAATGTAAAAAGATAATTTTGCTTTTATCAACTGAGTTGATAATGTGAATTGGCCACCGTAAAGAGTTTCAAAGCTTTGAACGCGTGAGAGCGTAACGTATTGATGATGAGTTTCGCTTTGCACCTGATTGGTTGAGAAGTGACACGAGTTTTCTTGACCAAAGGACCGATTTTCTCGACTACATATCCCCGGTGTTTCTTCGAAACTTGTTGCAGTAAACTCGCAACCAACTTTCGTTGTGTCTTCTTCGAAGATAAGTAAGTGACAAAAGTACCGATTTCTCGACTACACTTCCCCGGTGTTTCTTCGAAATTTGTTTCAGAGAAATCGCGACCAACTCTCGTTGGGTCTTCTCCGAGGATAAATATTTTGACCTAAAAATTTTCATGTTTAAGATTATGAAGTAAAACTAGCACTATGTAGCAGCAGTTCTATTTAATCGAGTACAGCTATTTCTGGTAAAGACTGGGACCCTGATAAAACACTGAGGCCTTTTATTTCTTAACCTTTAAACTCCCAGAAGTGATTTACATGTAACTTCTCCCAACAATATCCATAAATTATCCAGCAAACAGGGAACGAGAATACTCAAACTGATCAGGTGGAAGTTGTTATCTTGATCTGACACCAAATTCTCGTTACTAATTTACAAGGATACGTTCAGTTGCTAGAAGCGAGAATTAACAATCAGATCTTAGGAGTTAAGGGGTTGCAGGAGAATTTTGGTCGTTTTCCCCAGGCAAAATTACGGAAAACCCTTCGGAAAACAAATCCACGTTTAATCGGCCAAAACAACCTCAACACAGTAACACGACAAATGATAAAACTTCGTAAAAAGTCCTCAAAAAGTACGGATCTAAAAACACTAAACTCGCACACGCTATAATTGTACGCGTGCTTACAAAATTGAAAACATCTCTGAGTCCGCGCGTCACACTAAATTTACCTGACCCCCTCTCCATACGGCTTTGTATTATTCTTATAATTCCCCCCATAGGCAGTCAATTTTCTATAGTCCTCTCTTTAAACTCTGTTGGCGGCGACTGATCTCCCCCCCGGCTCCCTCTGAAAACCATGTGATCCCCTCAGGTTCTTTGATCTGACGTTCTGACTTCGTTTATTTATAAAATGACTAGAATTCCAAATATCTAACGAGCCAAGGTTAGAATTCACTTATAGAAATCACTTAATACAAACTATGTGCTTTGCGTATTTTCATCCAATTATCGCTGTTGTAATAATATGCCTGGATGTCGCTCTTCAGATTCCAGATTGTCGAATTTTTCTGATCATTGTTTCAAATATAATTGTTTGTATGTAAGAGATAATCTTCTAAGTTCATTACAAGGAACCTTTTACTTTTTCTCTCTAGGACCTAAACGCATGAAAAGAATGATTAAGATTATTTTAGCTAATCATCAGAGAAGTGACTTTATTACATATTCCTTTGTAACTAAGTAAAGAGAATTGCAATTTACATTAAGGTTACACCTTGAAGCTGAGAAGTTTGTCAATTCTCTATCTCTGTTTGCTAAATATTCCATTATAATTAGGGGGAGGGGGAGGGGAAAGGATACGGCTGCACGGAGGCTAGTCAGTCACATCTCTGTGAAGTGATTCAAGGAATTGATCCAGTTTTGTTTAAAATTCGTGTTTCCTTTCCTTTATCTTCATTTATTGGCAGTTTATTTTTTCCCACGAAAATCTATGTCATTTTCAAATCCGTTCAATTGAAGTTGTTGTTTGTTCTATAGCATTTTTTTCAGCCCCAGAAGATCAAGTGCTTCTTGACAATATTCCTCAATTATTCGAATTCTTTCGACTGGGGAATCTTGCTTCCACATATCAATATTAGCCGTTGAATTTCGAGTTGGTGAGAATTTGTTTTTGCTTTCCTTCATCAGTTCTTCTTTACTCGGCGAAGTATTGCGAACCACCCAGTCGGCAATGCTATCGGGCATTTCAAATCCTGCAAAATCATACATAGCTCTTGTCGTATCCAGCGGTTGTCCGGCTAGATCGTGGTAGTGTACTTCTAAATACCTGTCTTGCCATTTGCCCAGATTTCGGCCAAACTTGATGTTTGCGACCAAGTTTGAACAAACTTTTCTGACTAACTTTCGAAAATTCCAATGCGTCCAGTCTACCATCCATCCTAACTTAATCCGGGATCTTAAACTCGCTCTGGGATCTCGGATAAGCTGGATAACCCGGATGTCGGTGTCTGGATTCTCTAAGAACACCTTTGGAAGAAAAGATGAAATTAAACTGTTGGGTGTCCTGGGCTCCCCTATTTTCGTTACACTGTGTTTGTATTTTGTTAGGCATACTGTGTCGGCGTATGTGGGAGTACTGGAAAGATCTTCACATTCCCAGTTGGGGCAAAAGTTTTGAGACTGAAAAGGGTTTTTGACATTTGCTCCATTCCATTTCCGGGAGGTGTGCGAGAGGAATTTAACACCAGCAGCAGTCTCGGCGAACTTACAACTTAAAATTCCCCTAAGAAGATCAAGAACGTTTTTGGTCCAATTGGGTATTTGACTAGAGTCTTCTTTGTTCCATCTGGTTGTTATCCATAACGGTTCATAAACAGTCATAAGTTGTGGATCTTCGGCAAACATTTTTGTGGTGAATGTTGTGCCTGAACGGTCGGCTCCATAGATTAGGAGACTTCGGCGGCGTTCGGGTCGGGGCGTCGATACCACATCAAGGGACTTTGTGGAGGTCGGAAAAGTCCGTTGTAACTCAGGGAAATTTCGATTTGTTGAGCGAAAGTTGGAAGTTATCTGAACTGAGTGTGACACTGTATGAACCTCGGAAGGAGATTGGCCCTCTTGGTCTTTGTTCGGGAAGTTGGTTCGCCGCAAGATATCTTTAGCTAAAACACAGTTACTTCATCTGAACTAAACTAGTCTTCTGATGAAATACTTACCTTTGCATAGAGTGCCAACACCACGTTTCTAACTATTTTTCATCGACACACTGTGGAGTCGGTGCTAAGGAACTACAACTTACCGAAAAGTATTGTTTCATAACCTGTTTACGTCTGGAAAAAATACTTCGTTGTGATTGGTTACGTACTCATAGGTCATTCAATACTCCTTAATTTGTATTAAACAGAAAACTAGTAGGTTGCGTCAAGCTGAGAAATTTTTGACGTCTGTTAAAGTTATTTTTAATACTGCTCCGAAACGAACAGTGAAGCCTAGTCAAATATCAAGAGTTTTTCGTTTAAGAATAAACAACCTTTAGCATGTATTCCCACGTCATTAGCACTAGTGAACCTTTTTTTTCATCTCTTTAATACCTAACGTGTTATTTTCGACTTCTAAAGGCTCTCACCATGAAAACAAGCTTTAGTGCAAAACCTTTGTTTTGCAAGTGAGTTTCATTTGCTTGAGAATTGATAATCATTTTCATATCTAAATACTCTCACCAACCATTGTTTTGAAGCAAGGTCATTGCAAATCTGGGAAATATATAGAGGCGGGTAAGTTTCTATAGAAACTTTGGTACTGCATCGGTGGGGGAGTGTAAAAAGATAATTTTGGTTTTATCAACTGAGTTGATAATGTGAATTGGCCACCGTAAAGAGTTTCAAAGCTTTGAACGCGTGAGAGCGTAACGTATTGATGATGAGTTTCGCTTTGCACCTGATTGGTTGAAAAGTGACACGAGTTTTCTTGACCAAAGTACCGATTTTCTCGACTACACTTCCCCGGTGTTTCTTCGAAACTTGTTTCAGAGAAATCGCGACCAACTCTCGTTCGGTCTTCTCCGAGGATAAATATTTAGACCTAAAAATTTTCATGTTTAAGATTATGAAGTAAAACTAGCCGTATGTCGCAGCAGTTCTATTTAATCGAGTACAGCTATTTCTGGTAAAGACTGGGACCCTGATAAAACACTGAGGCCTTTTATTTCTTAACCTTTAAACTCCCAGAAGTGATTTACATGTAACTTCTCCCTACAATATCCATACATTATCCAGCAAACAGGAAACGAGAATACTCAAACTAATCAGGTGGAAGTTGTTATCTTGATCTGACACCAAATTCTCGTCACCAATTTACAAGGATATGTGTTGCAGCCAGAAGGGAGAATTAACAATCAGATCTTGGGAGTTAAGGGGTTGCAGTTTTTCACGCTTAACGTTTACACGAGGCTGGCGTTTAATCGGGGTACGGCGTGTGATCGAGAAAATAAGATAAAATGAATGCAATCCCGAGTTGCTTTCAACTCGCAGTCAAATGTTTTTCTCTTGGGGACCAGTCCTTTTTTATCGCAGTGGGGGAAGGGGAAGGGGAAGGGGTTAGGATTTTGAAGAGGGTCATATGATTTTCAGGGGAAACGGGGGAGATCAGTCGTCACCAACAGAGTATAAAGGGTGGGACTCTAGATAACTGATTGCCAATTTGGGGGGGGTTTCAGAAAATTAAAGAGTCTCGTAGGGGATCAGGTCAATCTTATCTTTACACAACCAAGATCCTCTTAACCTCCCTTCCCCCCCTGCCCCCCCTGCCCCCTCCCCTTCGGTGATAAATAAAGACCAGTACAAACGTTTGCAGCTTATCACTTGAAGTAAATACTGTATTTCATGCTTCATCTCTTCTCGATTCCTAACAGCTGCATTAGTTCATGACACTCTCGTTCTATTATCCTGTTCTGTTCTGCCGGGGCCCTGCGCCATTTTTCGATATTTGCCGTAGAGTTCCGAACAGAAGAAAACACCCTTGAGGATTCTCTGGCAAGAGCTTCTTGGCTTGGGCTGGTGTTTAAAACGATCCATTTAATTAAATCTTCCGAAATCTCAAATCCAGCAAATTGGTAGATTTTCAAGGCAGTTTTTACGGGGGACATTGCTATGTCTCGGTAATATATTTCCATAATCTTGTCACGATACTTTTCGGGCAAGTTTCTTCCATATTTTACATTCTGTGCGATTTTATTGCATGGAAATTTCACGTGGTAAGTGAACGAGGGCGATGTGTGTTTTGGCATCCAGCCTAATTTAATTCTAGAGTCCAAGCTTCCGCGCGGATCTCGGAGAATCTGAATGACTTTGACGTCAGTATCCGGGTTCTCTAGAAACACCTGTGGTACGATGCTAGAAAGCATTAGGTCAGGCACACGAACCTGGGCTACTTTAGTAACGCTGTGCTTGTATTTCGTTGCACAGGCCTCCTTGGCGAATTCAGGCGCGAGATAGAGGTTAGGGCACATGCTCTTACCAGTCTTGGAAACGTTGCAGAAGTTTACTGTTTGGAATGGATTTTTGAACGGTGCCGCTGCCCAGTTGCGTGACGCGTGGGCCAAAAATTGTGTTGCCATAGGAAAATCTGGAAAGTTACAGCTAATTATTCCATTTATCACCTCCAGCTCACTTCTCGACCAGTCTCGATGTGGTTCGGTTTTCCTCCACCTTTTCGTTACCCAGAGGGGTTCGTAGATCATGAATACCTGAGGGTCTTGGCTAAACATTCGGCTGATAAAAGTCGTTCCCGAACGGTCTGCCCCGAAGACGACCAAACTTCGTCTCCGTTCGGAAGAATCCGATGTTGACGCGGGATTTAATGGAAAATTATTAAGAGTATTATATGTTGCCGCAGGACTAAACCTCAAATCTTTCTTTTCCAAAGCTGTTGCTTCATACGGAGTACTTCTTGTCATTTCGTCAATAAAATCTTGTATCTGGAGATTTTCACTAGTTTCCACGGGAACTGCAATCGTCATCTGCTGAATGCTTTGAAGCAGTAAAACGGCAACCGTTGCAATTGCCAACCCGGTGATCACTACGATTAGTAGTCGTACACCGCAGCGGAAATGCCTCATCGTCTGTGTTTCTGCTGCAAAATAGAGCAATAGCAATAAGGAGTTATTTTAGAGCGCTTTCTCATTGTGTCGTTATACCAAAACCAAAGTAATCGCTACGGCCAATCAGAACAAAGGGAAATATATATATATGGTGCTCGATGCGTTTTCAGAGCGTGGTATATCTGAAAGTTGAACTAATCAATAAGACATAACTTTTTCTGCGACTCTGAGTTTCACGCTTGCGCGATCATCAGACACATTTTAAAATCATTAGACAGAGTTATGTCTTATTGATTAGTTCAACCTTCAGATAAATATATATATATATATATATATGTATATATGCGTATGTATATATGCATGTATATATATATATTTTTAATTCTGTATCAGGAATTTTCATTAACCAGCCTTACCGATTACTTTAAAAAGATCTGAAGAGGTTGTCAAGATCGTAGACAATTGGGAGCCAGTTAAAAGCTGTTCAAAATGAAACTTGTGCGTATGTTGCTCTGAGTGTGTTAACTACTGTAATTTCCATGTCATGGTTGTAAATTGGTCGCTTACAAGTGGTAAACTATGGAATGTCCCGATTCTCACTTGTATTTTTTAACCTAATTACTCACCTTAAGATTCGTATTTATCGCGCAAAATACCTCAGGGTAACTATGTCTATTAGGTATCAGAGATCGGAAAATTTGACGTCTATGAGTGACTAGCAAGTATTTCTTCCTTACAGTATCACTTGTGATTCAAACATGGGATCAGGTCATGAGAGTAAGAAAAAAATTATCGCCCACAAAAGGAGCTCGAGACTACTAAACAAATTGATGAATGCATTATGGGTGCACCAGTGCATTATTACACTTTAACCTACAAAAATGCCTTTTTCAATATTTAATAAATCTGCGGTAAATTAAACATTTAAGTAGTAATTCTTATTGTATTTTAAGTGCGCTAATGTCCTATTTAATGTGTAAACTTTATTTGGTATTTTTATACCAATTAGTAGTACTAGTATTAATTGTGATAGGAAATTTATTATAAATAAACTTAATAATGTATATTTTGGCCATTATTTATACCACTTATGACGTGCACATAGATTTAAAGTCATGTTATTAAATTTTAATCGACACGCGCAGCACCAACGATAGCCTAGTTGTCTTCCCAGAACGCCTCGGCACGTCCATAATGCATTCATAATTGGAGTGAATATACGTATTTTTACAGTGTTTTTTACATCAATCTATTTATAAACGATAGCGTGAGAATCTTTCAAGTAATTTTTTTCGCGCTTTGTTTTCAATTTGAATAAAGTATGTATTTGTTTCATGCGTGATAATGAAGCGTAAACTATTTTAATTAAAAGTATTTCTGTCATAATATATACATAGAGCAATACCTTTTGTCGTAATTGCTGAAACTATTCCTCCTGCTGCCAATATAACACTCATAACTTCTGCTATAATTTTCTACTTACGATATTTTTATATGCTTTTTTTGCAACAAAGTAATTTTAATATGATAGTTATCGTACAGTTTGTTCAATTCCATTTTTATTCTTCAAGGTTTTTCCAAACAAGACTTTTTTAGGGATTTATTTATATAAATTTAAGTTCGTGTAATTATATTGATCTTGGTGGCATTTTAGTATTTAATGCTTGTATTGCTTGTATTATTAAGTTATGATATATCTTTGAATCAATTCCAATGAGTTTTAATGAATCTTTATTTTTATCATTAGTTATCTTTATCGTAAAATGTGTTTTTTGCATCTGTGAATTTATCATAAATTTTTATCGTTAATTTTATATTATTGTTTGTGTATTTTCAATTACACAAAACATCACTTAACGACTCTTCTTTTTACTTCCAATTCTTTCTATTTGTTCATCAGTAAGTGGTTTTGTAACAAAGGTTTTGATAGAAGAACAGGTTTTTTTCTTGGTAAAGGAATAGGCTTTTTTCAGTTGTTTATTTAATTCAATTTCCTCTCGGAAGAACATTTTCCTTTTTTCTCGGTGTATTAATACTTTAATATATTTCACTTAAAATTGATTTTAAAAGCTTGGTTTCTTTAATTACTTCATTTAAAAGCTCATTTAAATCACTTGACTTATTTCTACTCATATTTTTTGTACTCTCATTTTCTTATATATTATCAACACAAATTTTATTTAAGCATTTTAAATTAGTGAGCGCAAAATATGATTTTAAATAATTAAACGACCAAAATACACATATTCACTCCGGTGATTAATGCATTATGAGGCCGAGACAAGTAGGCTAGTATTAGTGCCGTGCGCGTTGATTACAATGTAATGGAATTAATAATTCAGGTGCACATTATAAGTTGCATGAATAATGGCAAAAATATACATTAATTAGTTTATTTGTAATAAATACATTTGTAGTATTTTTGAGCTATTTCTTACTCAGATCACAGTGGATAATATTCTCGTTATTTCACATTTTCTCCTTCCATAACATTTCTTAATGAGAACCCTGAGGTATGGCATAACTTATTGTGATTTTGTATGATTTTTTTTTTAAATTTTCAGTGTTACAGATATTTTTGCTGCCTATTTTGTGGATAATACTTGAGTATATTTGATGATTTTCTTCATGGATTATGTAGAGAGCTAGTTTTTATTTGCATTTCCTTGATTATGTTTAATAGGATACACAGTTAAACGTAATGGGCTTTTATTCGAACTCAAGGAACTGGTTACGGAGCTTGTACCATATATACAACCTAAGAAAAACACTGTTCTTTTTAAAAGAAAAAGTTGGCTTACCTTTCGTAGGAAGATCTGTTAAGTCTCGTATATGGAATGTAAATATTTCTGTGTTGGGCTCTGTCGTTTTCTTGTGAGTCCTATTCACATCTAATATTAAAACATTGTAAAGCAAACCAACTTTTCCTTGATGTTCAAACTCAAACTTCAGGTTCAAACCTTTGGTAAAAGTCAGTTACTTAACGAAAATTTTAGCGCGGCCCCAAGGGGAGCCCAAAGGATAATTCGTTTAAAGACCATAACCTTTAAGAGTACTATTCACCGCTTGGAGGTAAATGGAAAACTAAATGAAACTAACTCTTCAGATATTAAAACTTAGATGACAAAAGAACCCAGCATTTTTGCATCGATATCTGGGTTACCTAGCAAATCTGTTGACGTTGCCGACACGGCTGTTCACCTTACAAGTGAGGAGCATTTTTAAAATAGATTTTAATATATATTTCTGGTAAAAATGTGATTGCAAATTCATCTAATTTGATTTTGAGACGTTTTCTTTAGTTACGCGACTTCATCTCAGTTGTACAGTATATATGAATAGTTAAACGTTTCTAATGTGTAATTTAGACATCCACTTTATGGGTAGCTCACGGACACAATAGAGAAATATTTGGAAAAATTATCACATAGGATTATGATGTTGGGTAACTCGACTACATCTCAGATCGCTTATTTTAAATTAGCCATAAATCTGAATTAGAGCTAGTGTGTGCACAAGACAAAAATCACCATGCAAATAACGTTATAAATGAATGTAAAATGCATACACATATTTCAAAATAGACTCGGTGGTGTACGATTTGAGACCAAATTCACGATTCAAAAGCGGGGTTTCTTGGTTTCGACTGTTTTGAAGTCACCAATTTTAATCCCCTCTAATGGTTATTAATGGTCTTTCATTTTCTTGCGATGTGATAGGTTATTTAAAAGAGTCTTGTTACCTAATTCGTTAGTTTGGTTTTTTTTTAGAGTTCCATTCTTTTTGGGTGGGTAAACGATGCGATTAACAGCATCAAAATATTGGTCAGATTCGTGATTAATCGCACTGCGAATAGCCAATGATTTCAAAATGGCCTTAGTCTAATAATAAGTAAACAAGACGTGTGTGGCAGACGAGAAGGAGATATGATATCAGGATTAACACTTTGTACCCTAACATCAGTGTGCATTTTCTCCCAAGTGTTCTCCATACACTTCCTTAGGTGCTGACAAGGAGGATTTGTTGAACTATCAAGAGCCTCTTCAGCTGGTGGTCATTTCCTTTTTTCTGTTGACCTTAGTGTGTGATTCAGGTGTGATAGTAGAGAGAGAAATTTTTTAAATGAAAGTCGCTCTAAGTGGTCGAAGTATTAACAAAAGAGTCGGCTATGACCCTGATTAGATGACTAGTGTTGAATAAAATAAATTTTATAAATTTTTAAGAAAGTCTTTCGAGATGCAGTAAATCCATCAGCTCACTGCATTCTTCTTCGATAGTTTGAACCCGTCTTACAGGTGACTCCTGTCGCCATTTCTCAACATTGGCGGTGGAATTTCGAAACGATGAAAAGGCTCGTTTCCCTTCTTGTTTAAGAATTTCTTTGCTCGGGTTCGTTGCTTGCATGAGCCATCTGATCATACTTTCTGATATTTCAAACCCAGCAAACTTATAAATATTCATGGCTGTCACAAGGGGAGAAGACGCGATGTCTTTGTATCGAACAAGCATATAACGGTCTTTGAATTTTCCTTGGAGACTCGCCCCGAACTGAACATTTTGTAGAACCCCTTCGCATGTGCTCCGAGCCAAACCAGCAAAATTTTTTGCTTTTTCAACGTCTGGTATCCATCCTAAATTGATCCTGGAATTTATGCTTCCTCTTGGATCGCGAACAACGTGCAAAAATTTGATGACCGTATCTGGATTATCCTCGATTATCTTCTGAAAAATGTTGGAGAGTTTTCTTTCTGGGACGCGAACGATAGCCACTTTTGTGACACTGTGTTTGTAATTTTGTAAACAGGCTTTTTGTACCACATCCGGGATTGTTTCGGGGTTTGGGCAGGCATCAGGATCGTTACATATCGGTTGAGACTTGAACGGGTTTACAAATAATCCAGGTGCCCAGTTTTTGTAGGTGTGGGACAAAAATTTAATTCCAGTTGGGTTCTCCACGAAATTACAAGTCATCAACGCTCCTACCACCTCTGTAACGTCCTTTAACAGATTTCTGTCTGACTCTGTTTTACTCCATTTTCTTGTTATCCACAACGGTTCGTACACTGCAAAAATATCTGGATCTTTGCTAAACATTTGCGTCAGCAGTGTCGTGCCTGAACGATCATCACCGAAAATCACTAAGCTTCGTCGTCTTCTGTCGGGTTTCGTCGTCGGCGGAATTTCGGACGCCATCTGCGTCATCTTAACTACTTCCTCGACTTGTTGGTCGAGAACGATCGGCTGATCTTCAAAACTTTTCGCTTTCCGGCTTACCATGTGATTAGTTTGAAGTATCATGTATGTAGAAATAGCTCCCATGAGCATTAGAAATGCAATCAAGAAGCGGAACAGAAGACGCGCGCCAACTAACACCATACCTTGACTCTATAAACACCAGAAATAGAATCTGAAAATGATAATAAACAGATGCGAAGTTGAGGCAACAATCTTTAACCCTCTGCACCCAAACATCAGTATCCATTTTCTCCATACTCTTCTCTATACATTTCCTTTGGTACTAGGAAGAAGAATTTGGTTAACAATCAAAGCTTCTTAGGTTGGCGATCGTTTCCCTTATTCTCATGATCTTAATGAATAATTCAGCAGTAGTACTGTGAGGAGAAAGTACATGCTGGTCACTCTTAGGATTTAAGGGATGAATTATATTAAGTTAAATACGAGGTTCCTTAAACGACTGAAGCCGAGACTCTCAGGCTGTTGAGAACAACATTCTTATAACTTTTGTTTATTCTGTAACTAATTGTAATTTTAATTGCAAACCAGTACAATTTTATTGACCGTCATTTTGTCCTGATGATGACTTCGTAATAATCGTATTGTAATAGTATTTACATTTGAGCGCAGCTCTTTGTAGCTGGATATATTCTAGTGGACTTGTAGTCAACCTTTCATTGACCAAATTTGTCCTGTCAAGATGGCTGAATTTTGGCCCCGTTCCTTTTTGTCTTTTGTCTTAGTCTTCTTTCGTCTCAGACAAGCTGGGCCAGCAATGCATACTTCTGAATGATTTAATATAGCGATCTAACCATTCAGTTAGACTGACTTATTTAAGAATATCCGCAATCACGATATCAGCAATCCAACTTGATGATGTTGTAGACTATCATTTTATGAGTTAAAAGACCCTAAGGTGTTTTATTCCCGGGGGTTCGACTTAAAAATAGTATATGTAAAATAAGAGAAACAGATAAAGTATTTGGTTTCCAAGGAAAGACAATACTTTTTTTCCTTCTGATAACTCTGTTCCGGCGATTTTTCCATAAATAGCGCGCTCAGTCACTTTAAAAAACATGATATTGAAACAGCATATTTTCACACGGGTCGCAGTCGACGTGTGAATAAATTATAATAAATTATAAAATATTGCCTTGACAATAAGGTCAACACTGCGACTATTTTCCAAACCCGGTGATTATGCCTTTTAGGCGATACTCTTTAAGTTTTGTGGCATTGCAAGACGTGATCATTTGAATAAATTATCCTTCCACGATGGAATCTAACTTTTTCTCTTCCAAATGAGCCAAGTTTTTGTTACAATTGTGAAAACTTGTATCTGTTTTTCTTACCGGGAAACCACTTCTAAAAGCTGCTTCTTTCTTGCTGTAGCAATGCCTTGGTCTTAAATAACACATGTGACATCACAACCCTGTGACAAAATTACCTACTGGCGTTCAGTTATTACAAGTTCAAATTTTTAAAACGTACATAGTATTAAAAATCCTAACAATAGATTTCTTTGCTAAATAATGTTAAATTACCTTCTCAAAGTTCTTGTATTCGTTCACTAATAGTCTGTCCCGGTTAAGTAAAGTGAAAGGCAGCCCTCAAGCACTTCAACTAATTTGGAAAAAATGGCAAACTCATAATACAAGCGTCTGAGAAGAAACCAAGGCTTCCATAGTAACGCGAATAAGTCGTTAAAACCTCCATGTGTAATGATATATGTGTTTTTCTCAATGAATTGTCTGTTCTTAGTCAACGTAATGGATTTAAGGATTTATGTTTTCGGAAAATTCCACAGATGAAGAGTTTTGAAGTTAAAACTCTGATTTTCCTCTCACAGATCCAAGCTGAAGAGATAATTCTTCCAGTCACCTTGACTTCCAGTTCAAAATTTACGATTCGTTATGCTTTTAAATGTAATTCATTTATTACCATATTAACTGTGCGTGAGAGCACTAGTACAGTATAGCCCGTCAATTTGTATCCAAACATACCGATTAAAGTATTATTTAAATTCTATCCTATTTTGATAATTCAGTCTTTTTTTCGGTTGAGGATAAGCAGAAACCAGCTTGGAGTGCTCGAGGTTAAGACTTAGCGGTTTTTTTTAATTGAAAGTGCCGATAGTTACCAGGCCGGAGAAGGTTTCTTTTTTTGTCGTGTTGACATCTAAGATCGGGATATTTATGGTTTTGAAATTTGAACAATAAAGATATTGGAAAACGGAATAGAGTGGAGCGGTCTCGGAGCTTTTAAGATCCACACTATCATTCGTTAGAGTTAGATTTCAAATTATCTTTCTTGCGTGTTCCGTCTTTGGGAGAAAACAGAAAGTGATACGAGAGAGAGGTCATAACATTACAAGTCTAGTGCGAGTTATAGAAAGTGTCACCTGGCGAGTTCACCCCAGTTTTCTTTCCGCTTGACTCGACCGCGTCAAACTGGGCTGAATATAAAAAAAACCAGGTTGTCACATGAATCGAAATGAGTCATCTTTAGGAAAACTTTATTTTTAAACCTTTAAAATCAGTCATGCCTTACGTAGCGAGTAACAATCTAGGCTACTATTCTATAGTGTACGCTTTGAGCCTTTTTATCCTGATTTGTGTTGGTGAGTTGCTGATTTTTGAGGTCTCTGGTGTCCTTTGCGAAACATTCAAGATGGCGGCTCAATAATGTTTTGTTATCAATTTCCTATAGGGTTGTATTACAATCTTTCTGGCCTCGGAACAAGATTTGATATAGGATGGTAAGTTGTTAGAGAGTTTCCTTCCTGATTCAGTTGTCATGATACTTGATGTGTAATTCACATTTGTTCGCGAAAGTAGCACGGTGAATTGGTTACTCAGTAATTTGGTTGCAGTGATAACGCCTAAATTACATATCTACATTCGGTGACAAGGGATCAGTACGACGCTGAAACTAATTTAACGTCATAAAAAAGCGAGTTTAAGATCAAGGGTTGTTAACATCCATGCTAGTTTCATATTGATGTGAAAGCGTTGTAAATTAATAAATTTAGATTTAGATGTAGATAGGAAGCTTTCTAATTTTGTTATTTATATGTGTTCTAATTTCATTTCTTAAGGGAATCAGGCGAAACTGCAGGTTTCATGATCACTTATATACATTCTGTTGCCTTACAATTGTTCTTATTTTCTCATTCCTTGTTCTCCAAAGAGCACCAAGAAGACAATCCAATCAGTGCCCTGCATTTTATTAATGCTGTGGGAATCAATCCTTGCAATGCAACATGCAATATGCAATACACTGCTAGTCTAAATGATAATTTGTTTGTCTAACTCAATTGAATTTAATGAAAGGGTTAAGTTGGATTCAATTTTTCCTGCTATGAACCTGGGCTTGGGACAAAGAAAGAAGCACAGTCTTTGATTTGAAGCCTTTGTCATTTAACAGGTTTTTGGAGGAGACATCTCCTTTCATGTGGGCTTCTCTTGGAATAGGACTGGCTATTTCTCTGTCTGTGGTTGGTGCTGCTTGGTAAGTTCTTTGTTTACTACCAGGAGTGATTAACAGGCAATTTCTTATGACAGTTTTTAACATTACCTAGCAAATAGACAATGAGCAGAGACAAACTCATCACTTAGGGGATATCATCTTGATGAAGCACCAAATTCTCTCAACTTATCATAGAGAGGAATATTATTTAGAGGGAAAAATATTCTCATGAGTTGTAAAGTTAATCACTTCAGTGCTGAAATATTCCACATGTGAAAAGTTAGAATCACGCTTAAGATTAAGTATTTAGCAGTTTGGCAAAAGAGCTTTCTTTAGGTGATGCAAAATTTTACAAATTAAACACTTCCAACCAAAAGAACTGCTTGTTATCTCTTGTAGAATGGTGACATACCAAGGTTTAATTCACAAATGAAAGCAAATGAACAGTGCAAGCATCATAGAAGTGAAACCAATCAGTAGTCAACTGCTTTAATGTAATTAGTAATCATAATTACCTTATTCTATTTCTTTTTTTCAAGGGGCATTCTGATCACAGGTTCGAGTATTTGTGGAGGAGGTGTTAAAGCACCAAGAATCAAAACCAAAAACCTGATCAGGTAAATTTTCACGTCATTTGTTTTACAGAGGATTTTTTATGGCAGAGTGCAGATATGAATTTGTTATTTCTCCTAAGTTATTGAAGCACAGGAGTAAAAAATCTTATCAATAGGGCTTGAAATAAGTGTCAGTCAACCATAATGTTGGGAGTATTTTGGGATTTGATTGGTCAACCTGTCGGTTCGCTGGTCATGTTGACAGGTCACATTCCGTCACATTGAAAACTAAATAAATTTAAGTTTCCATGCTGTTTAGTTGTTTCAATTGTTACCAAAATGTAGCAAGTCATTGTGTATTGCACAACTTAAAATTGTTGTTTACAATTTGTACACATCAGGGTTTGCACACTTCCGTTCAAAAAATTGAAGATATTGGTTCATTTTCAAGTATAACATTTCTCCTTGTATATTACGTAATTCCTCAGCCCAGAATAAATATAGGCAAAGTATAATGCAAAGGAATTATACTTTTTGAAACCAATCATTATTCCACTCTTTGCAAGTTTATTTATGTATTTATCTGTTTTGTGCATAATACACACTATAGACATAAAAGGTTTTACATGGATTATTGGCAGAGTTTTAGGATTGAGATCTCACACCATAATACATATACCAGAAGTCATTATATTTGGAGGCACCAGGCAAATTTAATGTGTTCAAAAATGATGTTTAATGTGTTACGGGTTAGTCTTTTAGACAGCGTATCCTATTTTTACATGTAAGCTTATTTTTATTTTGCTATCGTAATTTGTTTTTGTTGTTGAAGATGAGTGTGTTAAAGTGCTATAAGCTCTAAGCAACAACTTTTTCAGAAATAGATATCACCACTTTTGGTTCATGGGATCTTGTTTTAAGAGTTATTTATATTATAAATTTGACCAGCTAGAAACAAGACACTACAAAGCTTAATGAATTTGGCTGGTCATCATGTCGGGTGACTCTCAAGAAATTATTTGAGCCTTTGTTGAGCTCCACAAGTAGACAAATGTCAGATCATGATTGAGGGAACTGGGAACAACATTATTAGCAAAGTAGTGTAATGAAAAGGGTTAATTTAATCCCTCACCAGAACCTTTATCATTTAAACTAATACATGTAAATGTTAATGTTGGATGCCATGAGATAAGAATAATTTTGCATCCACTGATAATATATCAAAGAAAGTAAGTCTTCACCATTCTCCATTTGCAGTATTATCTTCTGTGAAGCCGTTGCGATTTATGGAATCATCATGTCCATTGTTATGTCAAACTACATTTCGGTAAGGAAAAGTGATGTCATAACACTTTCTAAAACAAGGTCATGAAATTTTTATAGTATAAAAATTAGCAGTTTAATTTTAAACTGATAGTCATATTAAACCAGTAGGACTTGTCTTTAGCAACCAGTGCAGTTCTTTAAAAATTGCACTGAGAGCATTTGACCAGTATGACAGAGTGCAGTAGAATTTGAATTATGTTCAAGTCTGAATTGTTTCAGGATCTATTTTCATAACTACCTGTACCAACAGTGTACATTGTGTATCTATTTAACTGTGTTGGCCTTTCCTCTGTACAAACATACCAGTATTTCCTAACTGATTATTTATTCTTTTTGCTCAAAATTGTGCTTAATTGAAAGGGGGAATCTTTAGTTTTTGTCTTTTCGAACACAATACAGAATGTGTTTCTCTAGTGTAATTAATTCTTTGTTTTTCCTTCTGATCACAGGCTGTACATGATTTCAAAACGCCAGAAGCAATACAACAATATCATACCACAGGTGAATATATTTAAACTTTCATAATTATTTCAGTTTTGATTGTGAATGGAAGTTTAGTCTTGTATATTTGGTTTCTGGTTAGTGCATCTGAAGAGGCACAGTTTTCAATGAGACAAATCCCATGAAAATTTTATGTTTTGGATGAGTTGAAGGGGTTCAGCTCTCAGTATAGAAATAATGTTTTTAAAACCAGTTTCTCTGGGTATACATTTTCAGAAATAATGATATTTGAGCTCAGTAATCTTTTTTTTGGTTTGGAACTGATTTTTTTGTGTGTAAATACTTTTCCAGGATTTCTGGTTTTTGCTGCTGGTTTGACAGTTGGATTTTCAAATCTCTTCTGTGGTATTTGTGTGGGGATTGTTGGAAGGTAAGTGAAGAATGGGTAAACTAAGTTTGTTGTTGAAGAACATAAGGGATATATTTAAAAGTTCTATCCCTCAACATCCTAGCATCAGTAGACATGCTGATCTCAATACATCTATACTGTTCTCAATTCATTTCCTAAGGTGCTGATAAGGAGAATTTGTTTAACAATCTAGAAATTCTATTATTGGTGATCATTTCCTTTTTGCTTGTGACCCTTATGTGTGATTTTGAGGGTGATATTGTAAGAAGAACTTAGATGCTAGTCACTCTCAGGGGTTAAAGCTTCAAAAGATAATTTATTTTTAAGGGAAAGTATTAAGAAAAATGGAATTTTCGAACAAGTTGAAGGAGGTACACTGAAGCATTCTTCCTGAAATAAGCATGGGTGTGAGCAACAACAATCACCCTTTTATATGAAATTTTATTGAGACATTTGAGATTTTTTAATTACTGTTTCAGTGGGGCCGCTCTTGCCGATGCTCAGAATTCATCTCTCTTTGTCAAGGTATGAGTAGTTTATATCCCATGTTTGAATGCCTTTGAATTTGGTGATAGGCACTGTATGATATTAATAGCAATCTAAGTGTTTTAAAATTCTTCTTTGGCTTTGTTTTTAGGTTTTGATAGTGGAGATCTTTGGAAGTGCTATTGGGCTATTTGGGGTCATCATTGCTATTATACAGGTAAATGACTGTAAACATAAATGGAAAAAATCCACTTAAATAACAAAATAAGGATTTATATTTGCTATGCTCTCTGGCCCTGAAAAAAATCAGTGTGTGAAAACCATAACCTTTGCTATCATTCAAGGATCCTAAATGTCAATGTACTATTATTGTTACCCAGGAGTAATAATTTAAATGACCTTGTAAAAATATTTGTTTCTCTTTTTTACATAAAACTGCACACAACTTGTTTTCATTTGAGAACTTTCAAGAAGTGTATGCTACACATGCTTAGCCCCCATGTAGAACATCAGATGGTAATATGTCAGTCATGGGAAGAGAGCCTCATCAAATCTTTAATTCCCAAGATCTAAGTACCAGTTCTCTACATTGTCTGTCATACATTTCTAATCAGTTTAGCTCTGAGGTTGTGGTGTTGAATCAAACAATATTCCCCAGCTGATATTTTTTATTTTTTATTGTCACTTCCTTTGGTCAATATTTTGGTATAAGATAAAAACATGGGGTAGGGTATTGAAACACTGATAGGAAGTTATATCCATTTGCATTGCATGGTCTTTATTATGTTTTTTTAATATTTTTTACTCTTTAGACCAGTAAAGCAACGCCAATGGGGTCTATCAAGGATCATATCTAACAATAGCATTTGTCAGTTAACAATGATGATATTAATTTTGGTTGGGTGTGTGACTCTTCAAAATAGGTTACTTTCCTGACACATACCTCTGTTGTGAAAAAATATTTTTTTTAAATTTCATAATAGTATTACATTATAATTTTTCCTGATAATATGGACAACTATGTTGTTATGCCTCTTCTTAGTTCAATTTTACTCCTTCCCTGATAATAATGATGTATTATTCCCATAGTATAATTGTAATCCTTTGATCTGTTCACATTCGATGAACCACTAGTTCAAATTTTGGTGGATTGATAGGGTATGACATAAATGTTTGTGTAATTTGTGCCTGTGTACAGAAAAATTGAATTAAACCAAAGAAAAATGAGACAGTTTTTAAGGGTAACATTTTACCACAACTAATTGCTCATAGTGCATTTGTGATTGAATGTGATCTGGAATTCTTGATGAAGTAATCAAAATTCTTGACATCACCTGAGAGGGTAGTGGAGTGTCAATTAGGCATGGAATATCTGTGGTATGTGCGGAACATTTCTATCATAACAATATTTTAATTACGTCTGCGGTAATAATTGAGATGACAGTCTAGTTAGTGTTAGTCGACTAACTAAGATAAACTGATACCACAAAATCTCACTTATTAATTTCTTGTTGTAAACATTGGCTTGAAAGAATGTAACTCATTAGTACATGAAGAAAAAATAAATCTAATGCTAAATTTAAAAATGTTCAATTATGTTAGACATGGTGCAGGCCTTAACATGTTGGGCCATTGTCAATGCATGGGGAGTTCTCAGTTGAACATCTGATTATAAATTCTCCCTTTTAGTTACTATGTATTTCCTTGCAGTTAAGTTACAAGAATTTTGTGCTGCACCACTGTAACACCCTTAAGCTTATATTCTCATCACCTGCTCTGTGATTATGTAATGAAGTTGTATGGAGAAGTTGTAATTTAATCATCCCTTTGGAGTAACTGTTTGCCTTTGTCCTTGATTTACTGCTGATAAATGTTGCACTGTTAGGTCCTATTACTCTAGCTACTTATTTTCCATGGGAACTCTTCCTATTCAAATAAAAACATACCAAAATATGGGACTCTAAAACTTCCCAGTAGTTTGTTTTATTATACTTGACTAATACAACTGTGCGGAAGTTATTTAAATTAATGACAAAACATACGGTACATAGCAAAAGTTAAGTCTTTGGGTACTGTGAATCTGTTGGCTGAATTATATGGTTTGGTTAAAAATTGATTATAAAAAAAATAGTCTTACTTCACTGGAAGGAAATGAGACAGAAATAGGAATTGATGGTCATTTCAAGTGCATTCACACTCATTAACTATGTCAGTATACTTAGTAAGCACCACTTTTGGCTAACATTTGTGCTACAGTTATCTCTTCAAGTTTAACCAAGCACAGACAGGATATTGATTCTAAGTTCTCTCTGTTGAAAAGTCATCCGCAATGATGTCAATGACTTCAAATTAACTCTATATACAGCGCTGCACCGCTTCGGTTGAAGTCATGAAGAATATTCTTCCTCTTGTTAGTAGTAGTTCAGAAAAAAGATGAAGTAAACAAGTGCACTATTAAGAGATTACAAAAGTGTGGGTCAGCTGCTATGTTAAGTTTACCGGTTTAAGAATTAAATAAAAAACGCTTTAAAAACCTTCACTGTATGTTTAACTAGGGAGTCAAATATTAACTTGTTACGTAGAAAAGGTAACGACTTCCGAAATTAATGGGCAGATGTGTAAAACCACATTGAAGTTCTCGAAAGTTCTCCCTAAACAGAAGGGCATTTGATGGACTTAACTGTTGAGTGTTTGTTCATTGAGATGTAGTAGTTATTGAAGTTAATTCTTTACAAATTCAATTGTGATTATTCTACGGGGACCCAGTTTAGCCATTTCATAAATTCCCAGAACGAAATCTTCCCATTCTTGTGTTCATCAAGGTATTCGAAAAACCTCTCCACGTCGACTCCTTTATATCCCAGCGAGTCAAGCAGCTCTTTGAACTCATCTTTGCTTAAGTTGTTATTATTGTCTTTGTCATAAGTTTTAAACAATTCCACAGCTTTACAGAGATTCTTGAACCTGGCTTTATTGTTGACGGCCTCAAAACGCTCTCCGCTACGAAGCCATTGAAGAAATTCTTCGAAGGAAATGCTTTGATCTCCATCTTTGTCCAGCAGCATGGAGTAAGCCTTTGCTTCTTCTTTTTCAAATCCCAAATCCTTCTGTAAAAGATCGTCTAACTCGCTGCAGTTCAGTCGTCCGGTTCCGTCTTTGTCGTACTTGTCGAAGAGGCTTCGAATGACGATTGATGGAGTGTTGTCATTGAAATAACTGTTTCCCGCTTGCATTGCAAATCGATGAGCAGTCTGTGAGTGAAAGGTGCCTTGGTCGTTCGTTATATGGGGAAGGAAGACTGTTCTCTTGAATCGAGACTTTGAAGTCGAATGCAGGTGGTTTTTATGCTGATTTGTAATTCTCTAATTTTAAAAACAAACTACGTGACGTCACGTCGCGCTTTCCGCATGACACGGCATTTTCATTGCCATAGACGCCTTGTGAATGTGTGACTCAAAAGCTTAGAATCAAGAATTTTTCCCTTTAAACATATTTTATACAAATAAAAAGGATTGTAGTCGTTTTCGCCGAAAAACTTATGGGAATACGTGATCCAGCGTGATGTCATTATTTTTGGACTTTGACTTAATGATGAATCACTTTAAAGAGGTAATTGTTTGTAGAGCTAAACTTTTTAATTATTGCCCCAGGGCAGTTTTGGAAACGTCGCTAAAATTGAAGGTGTGCTTTCTTCTGTGCAAATCGCGTTATTTTCGGATTAATTTGCATCAAAAAGTGTTAAAATAAAAAACAAAACAAACATCAAGACGGTGTTTCCCGTTTACAACCTCCCACTTCTCGAAGGAGGATTCCGGAAAAAGTCCCTCGAGGTGAAGAGGGCCATAGCTATCCCTAGTCCAAGGTAATTCCTTTCCCCCCGACTTACCCAGGTTTTCTTCAAACAATGAAATCTCTCCACGCTGTTCACCAATTTTTGGCAATAATCAACTTTTTATTTCGTTTACGCCTACAAATTCATACTGATTGTTTAAGTAGTGAAAAATCAAATTGTCTGGCGACAAACTTGACCTACGCCTTGTACAAGTATAAAGCTTTTTCCCCTGATAACATCAGCATGCTATGTAGTAAATTAAGATCATCGTTTTTCTGCAATGATTTTCCTTGTCTATACGGAAGTCAAAATTGTTCGAAGTCGTCGCGCGCGATATGCGCGAGTTCGTTGTAAGACGCGAGGTTCGGTGGGTCACTCGCTTGTAAACGGGTCAACCGTGAACTACTCAATTGGTGCCCAGTTCAACCAAATCATGAATTCCCAAAAGGAGATTTTTCCATTGTTATGTATGTCCATTTTGGCAAAAGCCTTGTCCATGTCTTGGTTGTGATAACCGAGATATTTCATCATGGCTTCAAACTGCTCCCTGTCCAAAGTACCGCTGTCATCCGTGTCAAACGATTTGAAATACTGAAATGCTCTGCAAACACGTTCAAACTTAGGGTGATTGTCTAATCGCTGAAATCTTTCCCCGCTGCGTAGCCAGTCTTTGAACTCTCCATATGACACCTCCAGATCTCCATCTTTGTCTAGGAGGAAAAAGTATATTTCCGACTGATGTAGGTCCATTCCCATTATTTCCTCAAGGAAAAATTTCATTTCTTTCTCGTCGAGTTTCCCATCTCGTTTGGTGTCGTACTTGTCGAAGAGACTGTGAATAGCCACCGATGGTACGTTTCTGTCAAAATAGCTGAAACCAGCGGACATCATAGAATTGAATGTATCAACTCGGGTAAAATTTATGAAAGCTTTGCACTTGATTTCCCGCTAAGCTTTTCTGTGCAAGCCTATGATTACGTTCCCTTTTTATAGCCGTGGTCAGGGCGTAAACTGTTAATTAAGAAGGAATGCGGAAAGGGAAAATTTATCTAATTCCCAGAAACAAATCGATTCAACGCGTCTGATCAAACCGTGTGATCCAGTTGAGACGTCATTGACCTTTGTTTCTCGGTAGGAGGAACGCGTAACAGCTAAATTTAGCAGAACTTTCCTGGAATTGTTTGTTGTAACTCATCCAAATAATTACTTGTGCGATTTGCTCAACAAACATCATCTAGGGCGAGGGGGAAATTGATGCTTATTCCTTTGCTGTAGGTAAAATCAATTTCCGCTCCGCACGTCGAGAATGACAATTTCGTTTCGGGAAACGAAACTTATTGAAATAGCAATATTTCCATTCACTAAATTGTGAACTAAAATCCCATAGAGTAAAAGGAGGTAACCAAGCGATCAGGCAATAAGTAAAATAACAAGCTGCTCATATGGTAATTGCATTACTGTGACATGATAGATAGGAAAAATGTCCTCAAATTACACTGTTTACTTTGATAGCATGATATACACGTCACACAGGTGTGTTTAATTGATAATACGTCACACAGGTGTGGAAAGTTTAAACTCTTTCGGCGGAAATGACGTCATGTCTAGACGGCAAGCATAGTTTTCAAACGTGATGTTTAAATCTTTTGACCTTAATGTCCAAGACCAATGGAGATGGAAGGGGGGGGGGGTTTACGACGAAAGATACACTTTTCTTTACTTCTTAACCTCTATTCAACAAACCTTTAATGGACAAGGGCATTAACAACGGTTTTCTCTCCATTTTTATGACTAACAGTTGAGGCATCACCGGTATTTTATGACCGAAAAGGTGATTTTTGTTTGAACAGACTGTTATGGAGAGAGCCCCCTAATCCTCCAGGGTATTGAACATTGAGTAGAAAGGTAATGAAATGAACTCAATCACTCGCTAAATCGTTAGAATGAATTTTTGAAGCTGAATGAGTAACGATGTATTGTCAAAATAAGTGTGTAGTACAAATTCAGCAGGTTATTAGTAGACATCATTTACCTGGAAAAAGATTTCATTACCAGAATCACAGGAAGGGATTGTACATCAATTTACCTCAGGGACGAGAGGCTTGGGAGAGATTTACAACTACCCATGCAACGTGGCTCGAGACTTGCATCAGCCAACCTCGTTTTCGAGAACTCGTTTCTTGAAAGTCACGTTTCTATAAAGACCCAGAAAGCCGTACTCTACAATCAAAAGTTAACTCTTGATCCTATCCACCCTAACATCAGTATCCATATTCTCCATACTGTTCTCTATACATTTCCTCAGGTGCTGACAAGGAGAATTTGTTCAACAATCAAAAGCTTCATTAGTTGGTTATCATTTCTTTTATGCCCGTGACCTTCATTCTGCGTTGGGGTGAACTTGAAAGTAGAGATTAGAAGTTAGTCATTCTTTTACGGTTTAAAGGGTTAAGTAACGGAAAGTGAAACTTTTTAGAGTTCTTTACTGCTGTTATAGAAAATTTAGGAGAGACTAAATAAACTGAATTTGAAAACGACTTGAACCACACCAAGTGAAAGTTTCCAAGTTTGAGTCGGAGACGAAATGAGTCAGTTTTATTCGTTTATTTGCTAACCTCTCTGTTTTCTGTGGCTCTCCTTTTTAGCTGCCATGTCAGTACCCCAAACTGTCACATCGGTGACAAGGACAATTATTGAAACCGTGAACATTCATCACCGAAATACGATTGCTCATAATGTGTGCAATGATATTTAATGAGTTCGAGTTTACGATATCAAATAAGCAATGAAAGATCTTTATAAACAAAGATTGCTCCTCGCATGGACGGTTTCTGGAAACTACTTTCAGCGAAAATGATAATAAACAACTCCCTTTGTTTCTTCCGAGTGGCAATCAGTCCTTGCTGTCAAAGGTTTCGCTTGAGGTGTTCTGTGCATAACAATCCAAAGTCAACCTTGAACACATAAAACTGAGCTAAGGAATATTCAAATCCATAACTGTCATTTTGGAGTCAGTCCAATAACCTAGTTAATGACATTCAAATCCGTGGGGTGGTGACCAGTGGTCACATATTTGATCTTGTCAGACCTTAGAGTAACTCTTGATCTACTCGGGAACAGCATTCGGATGAATCAAATGTTCAAGGTCATTTTGTCTATGCTGAACTCAAACGTTTGAAAGTGCTATACAGAGCTTTTCTTTCCTTACTTCATTTTCATCTATACCCATTGTTATAATGGCAATGGAAGGAGATTTAGTCGCATTAGTTTATATCCAATATTCATATTACAATATTCCATGTGAGTAAAGTCTGAATTTTCGTTGAGCTAACAGGACTGATTAGGTTTTTGAAGCCATTTTTACGATAACGCAAATCGATTTCGACATGTAATTTTTTTTGTCGGCTCATCAAATAATTGGAAAAAAAATCAATATCACCATGGTTTCGTCACAGGAACGAACCCATTCCGACGATCACGTATGGATTTCTGAAGCTGAAAAGGCAGAATTGAATTTTTTCTTGCTTCTTTTTTTTGAAAAGATTCAGCTAAACAGATTGAGGCTGAACGTTGAGAAAATGCCCAAAGAGGCGTGTGACATCATAGTTATACCTTCGAATGATACTCAGTGAAATGTTCGAAGAGAAAAAACCCCCTTGAGTGAGAGAGTCCTTGTTCCAACGTTTACACCAGCGGAGCTCACGCAAGACCTAGTGTTTATGTAATACAAATGACCACAACTTCCGAAAATTTTCCTTTTGCAGTTAATCACATCGCGTTTCATACATTTTCTTGCTCGAAGCAATGTTAATTTTCCTAAAGATGATTCGGTTCCTATTTTTGTTAAAAATTCCTAAATTAAGTTGAAGTAAGTTTAAGGAAAAGTTTTCTGAAAGTGGATCGGCTAAAGTATGTGCTTACTACTATGTAAAAAAAAAAAAAAAAGTAAATGGTGAATTTTATGGCGCTGTTCGATTCTAGAAGCACGTGCCTACGATCACCATGGCGAACTTGAGTTTAAAAACAATGGTAGACTCTTGGACGGGCATCCGATTTCATGTCAACTTCCTAAAACACTGGAGAGTTTGTGGTCTCGTAAATGAAGTGTAAACGTTGATTTTTCGCTTATTTTGCCCGTATATGGTCACTGACGTCATGTTGCCGGAAGAGACTACTCACAGGGCGGCTGTTAAACTCTCAATAAAATGATTATGTCGGAAATCTCTGTTCATTACTATTCCAAAAGCCAGGATTACATGTCTAGATATAACTGCGCATTTCCCTGTAAGAAAGCAAAACAAAAACACACATTACGTAGGACCATTAATTAGATAAATTTTTCATGTGCTCAAATGCTATATAAGCGGGGGCAGACTGTTCCTTCGTAGCAAAACTAACGGAAAGCAGAACTATATAAAGAAGAAGATAGAGAAGCTTGAACAAGCACTGACTTATCCAAAATGCAAGCTGGACTCAGCTTTTTCGACAAAAAAGCCCCAGATGTTGTTGTTCGCAGCCTCTTCGAAAAATACGATACGAATGGAAATGGTAAACTGGACGAAAAAGAAATGCAAACCCTATTGGAAGGAGATTTAGGCCTGGATCGAGAACAAACTGGAGTGTACATTCCCCTTGTGGACAAGAACGGTGACCATGATGTCTCCTTTGAAGAATTCAGCGACTGGCTTCGCAGCGAAGAACACTTTCAAATTTTACATGACAAACAAATGTTTGAAAAACTTTCCAAAGCGTTCAGATATTTCAAGAGTTTTACCACAGATGACGGTGACACTCTTGATCGCGTTCAGTTCGAGGAACTGATGAAGTTCTTTGGGTATGAAACCATCGACATGGAGAAAGCTTTCGCGAAAATCGACAAGGACAAAAATGGGGTAGTGTCTTTTTGGGAGTTCATGGTATGGTTGAAATGGGTGCCAATTTTGAACTGATTAATACTTTTACGAACTACTCAATCAAGTTCTTGTTTTAATATATCTGAGGTGAGAAATTACCGAAGAGAACTGAAATCGTTATCTTTGAACGTAAACTCGAGAAAAAAATTATCTGAGTTTAGTAGCCCACCGACAATTTTGTAAGAGGCCATATATGTCGTGCGAATTTCCAAACCTAAAAAAAAATTCTTGCATAATCTGGTTTTATCAAATGAGTTGATAATGTAAAAGAGACCTGTTACGTACGAGTTCTCACTCATCACAATTGTATTTATTTATTTTGTATTTATTCAACTTAGATGTACATATTTCGTTTTCATGAATCATCCTATTTAAGTTGTATACACTGATTCGCTAATTTATTCAACATGGACATAGTTCAATTTTATTCACAAAACATTTTTCTTGCCAACTTTATGTTGGTGAATGTATTAAAGAAGCGTAATTGCTTAATGCTGTAAAATGTTATGATACACATTGTTAACTTATGCGAAATCAAAGGTAATGACGATGGAAAAACAGAGCCTCGGTCTTCTTAATTTTTTCTGATGCCTCAGTGATTTCTGCCATTCGGCCGCCATTATTTTTCATTTCGTCCCACTCATGAATTAAAATTAAACAAAAGTAGAACAAAACATCAGCTAAGTAACACAAAACAAATAAAAAGCGCTACAAATTGCTTTGTTTCTTTCTTCTTTCTAATAAACTTTCAACAAATGTCTTAACAGCGTGGTTAATTGCGTGGGTACACCGACGTGACGTCAAATCGCAGGGAAAACCCTTGATGTCGTAAACGTGACAAAGGTGTGACAGCTCATTCTGATTGCTTTTAGTTTGTTTAAGCTCATCTTATTAATTCTTTTGAAAGATCAGTCGCGTTTTCTTAAAAAAAACAAAGCCCTTTATTGGTAGTTCTCATGATTACACACTAACCGTAAATACAATCTAGGACAGGTCTTTATGCAAATTCCAGACTGATTGCTAGTGCGAAGTACTACCATTACCATACGAATAAAAACATGTATTTATCCGTCGCTTAGTCATACCGCTTGAGTGGAAATGACGATTAATCTGTTTCAAGTATTCAAAAGTGGATTAACACATGTGCGAACGTATGCACTTCGAAATAAAAGATAACAAAATCCCTAGAATCCATTGGAAATCCGCCGTTTATCATTAAATATTAGTTTTTGCCTCATAGTGTAAAAATATGTTACCTTCCTGACACAATGACTTTAATCAGGTTTCTCTGAATAAATTATTTTCGTTCTCCCGACTAAAGTCATCAAGCAAAGTACAACAATAACACATAAAGTTAACAAAAGAGTCTTCATCGCTTCGTACAGCAACTTTGGTGAGAAGACACTCCAAACAAACAGATGATACCGCTGAACAAATACCAACGTACAGTAGGCACAGAGGATCAGAGCCTGGCAGAGTGAGATAACGTAACACACTTGATGGAGAGAATACTGTAACCTGATTGTAAAAAAGTGAACTGAAATCAGTACAAAATAACCAAATAAGATTACAGCAAAAAGCTTACCGAGAACCATTACAGAGCTGGGACAGGAGAATCAGTCCCGAGAAAAGAGTCTTCCTCCAAATCCAAATTGTAAATAGCAGAAGGAGGATGGAACACCTTGTATATGTGATGTGTGGCTTAAAGAAGAGTTTCTGATCAGCCTCTTAGTCCACAACTTTTTGAAATTACTCAGCTCTGTATCCATCTCATGAGATAGCTTCCGAGAAGGCTCTCATAAGCACTGTAACATGAGCTACCACCCGCCAATCCTCTTCATTTTTAGTGCGATACAAGGCCACAACAATCTCTTTCCTTTAACCCCTGTTTTGTGAGCATGTTCTGCCTTACCCACGAGAATTTTACCTCACCGAGCTAAGCCAGGACAGTGTGGTACCAGGTGATTTTCAGTCGACCATGTCTTCTGTCACCAGATGGTGCATGCCCAGTGTAGGGCAACCTTTAGGATACGACCCTGAAGAATGACACGTACCATAACCCTTACACGCTCACTTCACTCCGCAACTAGAATCACGCGGGTCTTACCGCTTGTGTCGCAGAACTAATAAGAGCCCGCACGTAAGGCATCGTCTGAAGCGATAAGAATTATTGCAATTCGTACTGTTTGAGATTCTCGCACATTGCAAAGAATCTCCGACATAATTACTGATACATTGTAACATTGATGAAGCACTGGGAGAGAAACGGCTACTACTACTACTCTGTACAAAAGAAGAGCGCACGCGTGCCCTTACCTCTTAACATCTCGAGCGTTTCTCACAATAGACAACACTGCTGCCATTAGCCAAAGTAAAAGCCCACAGTAAGTAGCTACAAATGTTAAGGGCCCCACAATAACAGGTATATGGTCCTCTAATCCCACATAGCCAGCTGATATATCCACCGACGCAAGGCTGTTGGAGTTTCCCAAGGAAAAGTACATAGCGTGTCCCATCCACAAAGAGCTGAGTACAATAAGCCATGTGTTCTCCTGACTAAAAACCAAAATATGATTGTCAAGAGACAAACTCTAACGCGGTTATAAGATTGGGAAATCTTTTTTGACTCCCAGCCTCTGGCTGCGATGTATATGTTAATCTATCTATTATTTTTTGCCCATCTCAACTGATGGCACTATTGGCGGCCACTATTGGATTAATTCCAAATTCTCCCGTCTAATATACTAGGAAAAGTAAGGCAGAAAGTAGGGAGGGTTACTAATCGGATCGACGGAGTTTAAGAGAAATATCTTCATAATTTGGCCTACACGTACCTTTTCCAGAGCAATTTCCTCAAGATATGTTCTTGAACCACAAAGACCGCTAAAAGTGGTGCGTTGTGAGGCCTCTGAAGGAGAATTTCTAACAATAGTAAAGCTGATTGAATCCCTTCTAACGATCCACAGACGTCAAAATTATATTCCTGGAAAGTCTTTTTCTTATCGCTGTTTCTCTTTCTCCTACATAAATTAATAACATTCCCTATTGCTATTATTGCCACGCAACAATACGTCAATCGTGCTGCTGGGACCCCCTTCGTGATAGGTTCATTCGGTATCCATGGTAACTGAAGACTTCCTGTGACAGTCCGATATACGTAAGCGCTCACAACACCGACAACAAAGACAAGGGTGATTAGCACATTTTGACAGTTGTAGCGAAATCCTACGATGAAGAGAAGCGATACAAAATAACTTAAAGACAACACTTTTCGGTTGTAAGGCTTCACAAGCCAGTCTCCAATATCAGGTCTATCTGCCCATTTTATTCCAGTTTGGTTCCAGCTCCTTGACAATCTTCCTAAAACAAGAAGTACAAAACATAGCAGAAGTTTCCACAAAACTCCCTTCTTGGACGTCATGACTTCCAGTCCCAAAGCTCTTTTTTCATTTATGTGATTCCCAGATCCCGTTGAAGTTGAAACTGACTGAGAAAGATCTTGGTTCGAGATTGCATTTTCAGTTCTAGTCCTTATCCTATCAACGTCTAGACTCGTCAAGCAAAGCCCATCCGCGTTATGTCTACTTATTGTGGAATGGTGAGAATTTTTGTGAGAACTAGCGTCACCAAGTTTACTGTAAAGCTCAAAAGACTTTCCTTTCCCACATTTGTGTGTCTTGTTATTGCCTGAGTCCTCGTCCTTTATCACCAAACGATGGTGAAGTTCTGTTTCATTGAGATGCTTACAAGATGTGATTTTCTCAAGAAAAATGATAACGAACAAAGTAGACGTCAAAAGGTACCAAGTTTGATGTTCTTCTTCTACAAAACTACTCGAAGGGAGACTGACAACATGGAGGAAAACTCCTATGACAAGAAAGCAGCAAGTCTTATTTTGAAAAAGTGATGAAAGGGCTGATATAACCACCCAGAAAAAAGGCTGAGAGCTTGAAAAATGATGAAAAAGACCAATCAGAACAGATCCAAGTGTGACTCCTGATAGCAATGCAAATATAGAAGAGAGAACGATAGATTCCAGGCTAGTTACTGAACACAAAATGTCGCTTCCACCTGAAAAAAGAAAAGAAAAAAAATAATTTGACGATTGTGAAAAAAAAAACACTTGGAAGAACATTCTCCGCCTTAAGTGTCTGACGCAGAGGTTGAGTCAGGATGAAAATGTTCTAAAACGATGTGAGGCATTTTAAGACTTGTCACAGGAATAAGATGCACTGAAATGGAACCCAGTACTCCACGAGCCGCGTTGCAGTAATTTTTAAAGAAACCCTATAAAGTGACTTTTGTAGACCAGTTACAAAGAGAAATTTGTGAAGAGCAATCCGAGATAATTTTCGACACTCAATTGAAATTGCTTCAAAGCAGTCACTTCCCCAACAGCAGAAGCTATACAAAAGTTTACTTGAGCACTGTTAAAATTGCTATCCATACTAAGGTGATTTATAAAAGAACACAGAAAAAAAATTAATTAGCGAAGTTATTTGGATGCTCTATCAAGTAATAGTAATAGAATAATAGAATACATTCTTTAAATTATCTGCAATTGCTGATGGCCCTGCCACAGAGATATCTTCTTACCAAACACTGTGCTGGAGCAAGTAGAGAGATGAAGAACTGCAACAAGTAGAACAGCGCCGCTCACAACAATAACAGTTGTTGCTGAAAAATTCATCTCATCTCTTGTCTTCATGTCAAACGAAAGTTGAAGCAAACCACAGACGAACCAGTATAGAGTTTGAAAAAGAATAGCTATGCCGTAAATCATAGCATGTAGGTCGTAGTTTGAAAGAGAGGCTGTCACATGACCACTCATTTTCTGAAGTGCCAGGATGTACTGCTTAGCAACCTTAGTTGCTGAGGTAATCTGGTTTCTTGTAGTACTCAGGTCAACCTCTGCTGATTTCAGCCAATCAGAGTGCAGCTTGTGGGCGTGTTGAGGTTCCCACATGTTGTCAACAGAATGCCCATTTGTGATGAGCACTTGAGATAGTTGGTGTGAATTAAGCTGCATTGCTCGTAGCTTTTCTCTTGCACTATGGGAACCGAATAGTTCGGGAAGAAGGATTCCTAAGCTGAGAGAATGGAAGGTTAAGACATAGGTAAATAATATGATGCATAAACAATTAAGACTAACTGTTATTAATTACCTGTTTTGAGGTACAGGAAGCCCCAGGAGAAGACTCAAGGTTGGAACAAGATCAATTTGTTGAACTTGTTTCTTTGAAAACTCTTCACCTCCACCATTCTCAAATAATGGGCTCATAAACACAAGGGGTGTGTTTGTCTCTGCCAAAGATGCTCCACCATGACTGCCTACCTCACTCATTCCATGATCACCGCACAGCACCAATAATGATGGTGCCTTTCTTTGTTGATGCCAATGGAGCATTTCATTGTAGATATCACTTACAACTTGGTCCATTTCTAAGAGTTTTGGTCCAACTAGGGGACTTGAAGGTCCTGCAATATGTCCTATATGATCAAGGCCCAGGTAATGAAGAATCATAACATCCCAGTCATTGCTTCTCAACTCTTTACCAATGTGTCTTGTAACATTGTTATCTACCTGTAATAAGATATTATCAGAACAACTAAGAATGTTGATCTGAATCTATAAGATCCTTTCCTAAGTATGGGAAAGGATCATAAAGAAAGAAAAGCAAATGAACTAAAACTAAGCTAAACAGTCCTAAATCAGCCCAAAAAACTCACACAAAGCAAAAACAACCACTTAACCCTTTAACTCCCATGTGTGACCAAGACAGAATGTCTCCTCACTATATCTATACAATATCATGCAGACAAGTGATGTGAATTAAGATAAATATCCATTATGGGATTACTAATTGATCCAATACCAAATTCTCCAAACTAACATAATGAGAATCATTTTGCAGACAGTAAGGAGAATTGCTTATGAGATCTTGGGAGTTAAAGGGTTAATGACTGAGTTTTTTAGGTTGAGAATGTGACAGTTTATTCCAATACAAATTTTCATATTTTGTCTGTTGCACAATATTACCATATTTGACTGTATATTTATGGAGGTTCATGGTGTGAGGTTATGCTAATTGTAACATTTTAAGGATAAATTCACTTTTTTTCATTCTGTTGAACAAAAGGGTTAATTCAAGGATATTTTGTTTGTACCTCTGTATAATCAGTCACAAAAAATGACGTGGTTCCATCAGTTCTTTCAAAGTGTCCGGGAAACAGCTTCATCCAGGTATCGTCACCATAAAAAACAAGCTTCTTATCTGCAAACTTCATCTGACTGATCAAACTGTCTTCTTGTAAAGAACTTGAGTCCAAATTGAGAACAACATCAATAAATCCTGGTATGCCACCTGTTGTGAGTGCCTGTCATAACATATCAACATGTCAAATGAAAACATTACAAATTCTGCACCCATCTCTTGTTTAGTTCTTGTGAAGGTGTGCTTCATAGAGATTCATGCATAAGAAATATTGGCATCCTTTAGCTCCAACATATTTTGACCAAAAGATCTCTATTTCATATGTAGTGAAACCTCTGATAATGATCAAGCTTGGTTGATAAATCTCTTAACCCATTAAACCCACAAAGTGACCAGCATGTAATTTCTTCTTACAGTAATACTAGTGAATCATTCATGAAGATCTTGAGAATAAAGGAAATCAACCTAAGAAGCTTTGATTGTTAAACCAATTCTCCTTGTCAGTGCCAAAGGAAATGGATAGAGAAGAGTAACAAGAATATGGATACTGATGTTTGGGTGTTCTGGGTTAAGTAAGCCAGCAGTAAGTAATAGTCTCAGTGTTCATTAATGGCATAAATGCTCTGCTCTTTAATTTGCTGGGTATTGTTCCATGACCTGGGATATACAATGACTTCTCTATAATTTTTTTTGGGGAAGAAGCAGTTGCCTAATGGTTGGTGCACTGGACTCCACATCAAGAGGTTTCGGGTTCAAGACTTGGCTAAGTCATTGTATTGTGCTCTTGAGCCAGACATTTTACTCTCCCCATGCCTCTCTCCACCCATGAGTATAAATGGGTACTGGTGAACTGTCAGGGAATCCTGATGAAACACTGGGAGTAACCTTGCAATAGACTAGCATCCAATCCACAGAAAAAGTAATACGCCATGTCACTTCATGCTATAGAAACTGGTATAAGCTCTGGCCTGCAGGGCTACTTGGCTCCAGTACAGACTCTTTCTTTTATCTATAGTATTTATATTAAGAGCCTTGCGGAGTTATTTTTTTGTCTACAGATATGAAACATACTTAACTGACCTTAATTCTTGGCATAGTGACAGTTGGTGGATGTGCCTTTGCCATGAAACTGAGGAATATTACACAAGGATAGTAAATATGTACATGTATATCCTCACTGAAAAGTCAGTCAATAACAAAGTGATAATAGTGAATAAGGGTCTCCAGGTTATGTCTTAAAAGGTCTCTGAGGTTTCTATTTTATTGTGACCAATAACATAATGGAATCAACCCTTGGACCCCTAAGAGTGACTAACATCTGAATTCTCCTTACAATATCACCCCTGAATCCTACATTAAGGTCTCAAGAATATAGGGAATGATCACCAACTAAAGAAGCTCTGATTGTCAAACCAGTTACTCTTGTCAACACCTGTTGAAATGTATACAAAACAGTACGGAGAATATGCATACTAATTTTAGGGTGTAAAGGGTTATTGTTAATGATCCACCTGATCTCTGAGAGCTGGTAGTTATAATACACTGAATTCAATTTAATTCACCTGAATGATTTATTTAGACTGATCAGTTCTTGCGTAAAAGGCATCCTTATCTGCTCACTGTAAACAAAATCTGCTCTCAGTGCATCTATCAACATGATGACCACTCTTCCAAATTTCGGAGGTAAAAGATCTCCTTTCCCTTCGAATGATGGCTCAGGTGGAAGATTCTCGTTAGTTGCTCTTCCATCTATAGCTTTCTTAAGCGGAAAGAAGCCTCTTAGAAACAATATCAAGCCCAGGATTTGACAAAGAAGCAGGAGAACTATGAGTACACTGTGACCGTGAGGCATCTCCTCGACGAAAGGTGTTTTTTTCTGATGAACACGATCAAGAAATCAGCGATCTAAAAATCAATATTTACACAAGATCGCTATGACACGTCAGTATTAAGAGATAACTCCAAGAGACTTTGACTAAAGAGAGCTAAATCTTCCGCCATTTTGAAAATGTGACTACGATACTAGTGGCCTGCGCGACACAACAAAGAGCATATTCAATAGAGTAAAGCAACATGGCGGACGGCATGGAAGATTTAAAGTTGACTGTAAACAAGGATTTTGCGAAGAAACTCCACAAACAGAAGGAAAAAGCTGAACTCGACCAGTGTAAGTTTCTAATAGCCTTTCTTCGAAGGCATAAATATTTGAACTATGATGCCAGCGTTTTCTTGTAAAGCGCATAATCGATATTAAACTTGGCTGCTTGCAAGAGGCTTTCCGTGTGAGTTACGAATTTAAATCTCAATAACTTGTGTTCGTTTCAGTGAAGCAGAAATTTGGTGACAAGGATTCAGGGAGCGAATCCGATTCAAGTTCATCTGAATCAGAAGATGAGGATGCAAGGGTGAGTTTTGAATTATTCTATTTAGGGTTCCGTTCAGTGTTTGTGAAATACTCATCCTTGTAGCTTGAATGCATAATCTTCTGAGTCCTTGATGCTTTAACTTCCAAGATCTGATTCTTAATTCTCCCCTGTGGTTGCTACACCTTTCCTTGTAAAAAATTACGAGAATTTGGTGTCAGGTCAACATAACAACTTCTGCTGTATAAGTTTGAGTATTCTTGTTACCTGTTTTGTGGATAATGTACAAATACTATAGGGAGAAGTTACATGTAAATCACTTGTGGGAGTTGAAGGGTGAAAAGATACTGTTAGAACAAATGCCATCTTACTGCCATAGAGAAGTCCCTGTCAAAAAGTAAAGATAATGGGAAGAAAAATATATGAATTGATGTAAAGGCAGGGATGGCCTTACAAACAGTATTTTCACAGTGATTGTAAACAGATTCCAACTGATGTCCTTGCTGAATGAATTAGTATAAAGCAGAGAAAGACAGATGGATGCATATGATTTGTTTAAATTTTTAATATAGTTAAGAATGAGCAATTCCTGATACCAAGGGAATGAAATATTTGTGATACAGTGATTAGAAACGACAGGGAGTTTGACAGGTTTGGTAGATTGAAAAGTCACATGCCCTTTGTTTTGCAAAAATAGAATTATTGCTCAGTTCTAAAGGGAACTGAACAACTGTCATCATAACAAGACAGTGAAGATATATTTCACTGAAGAGCTCCAAATATGACAAAAAAGCTATGTTCATGTTTAACACAGTAAATCTGTGCAATGAAATTTGAAGAGTAACATTAATTTTTTTTTTTATTTCAAGGAACTCACTTCACAAAAGGAAAAGGATTTTCTGACTGTTCTATCCATGATCAAGAATAAAGACCCAAAAATCTATGAAAAGGATTCCAATTTTTACCATGAAGATGGTATGGTAAAGGATGCTTATAAACAAATTTGATTCTCTTACCTATTTCTCCATTTTTTTTTAAATTCAGACTTAAAGTTGGTTTTTATTCTTAAATAGAGAACAGTAGTTCTTCGGGAGGGAGTAACAAAGAGCAGAATAAACCCAAAAAGCCTATGTATTTAAAAGATTTTGAAAGAAAGGAGTTATTGGAAAGAGGAAGGTTAGTTGTTATAATAAAAAGAAAGTAAAACATTTAAAACTTTTTTTTTTACCCTTTCTGTACATTCCCCTAGGCTCTCCTCTGCCAGTTAGCTGTAACTACCTCTCACCTATCCTAAACTGAATTCCACAGTCATGGTTATTGAATATAATTTTGTGTGATACTATTTAGTCATATTATACTATCATGTGAAGTTTGATATGTGTCCTTCTTTAAGATTATTGTGTAGTATCAATAAACTTGTTGGTATAACTTTGCTCATGTGTCAGGCATTTTTTTATTGGAGCAGAGGAGTAGTGATTATCTTATTTGGAAAACCAGCTCATTAAAAAAATTTTGGGGCAGGCTTTTTATTTTTAATAAGAAAGTTTGCCTGATTTTGTATTCTAGCGAGGCATTCTTGAGTGATGAAGAAAGTGATGATGAAAAAGCGCTTGAGGTGAGTTAAATGTAAGGGTACAACACCTCTGGATGGTAGTCTTGAGGAACTTTCAAAGTTCAAGCAGCAAATAGAAGTTCAGGGAAAGAGAACGAAAGCCTCTTGTATCTTATTGTGTGGAAAGATAGATGATTGGACCATAAATAAACTGCACTGGTACCAAAAAGTAATACTCTCTTGTTAAATTTCTCAAGAGTACTCACAAATGTACTGTGTGCTCAGTAGACAGATACTGTCAGCTTAGTCCAGTTTCTTGAGGGGTGTGAATGGTCTCACAATGTTAATGCAGTAGGTTATTAATTTATCCCCAACCATTTGGTCCAATTGTCACACAATATAATTCTGTATTTCAGGGCAGAAGATCTCCTACTTTTGTGGAGGAGCAAAAACAAATAAAAGAAAGGTAAAGATGAATTTTGCTAGATTACAAGTATCTATACGAGCACTAAGAGCTGCCCATTGCAACTTTTCTTGACAACTTGTTCTACTGGTGCCAATCAAATCAATTAAAAGGTAACATACATGTCAGTCTTGATGAGTTGTCATGTTATCTTATAGTTTCAAGAGAGCTACTCAGGATGATGGCGAAGATGCTGATTTTCTGAAAGTTAGAGAAAAAACTATGGAAGAAAAGGTAACAAGAATGTTTTCTTGTATCATTCCCTGATTTAAGACAGACAGAACCTCTCAAATACAAGACACTTGCTTTAAAGATGTGCTTTCTGCTTGTTGGAAGGAAGCTATAACTGACCTAATTCACACTTATTTATCTAGATGAAGGAGGAAAGAGATTATGTGGAATGGTTGAAAGGACAGGAGAAAAAACAAAGCACAAAGTCTGCAATGGGTATGGTAAGTAAAGCATTAAAAAACATTCAGAATTTACTCATCATTGTTTAGTTTGAGTGCTGAGCTTACTCAGTTTAAAAATTCAGTGGTGGGTAACCTGAAAGTCACATCCCTTGTTATTTATAGCTTTAATTTATTATTTCTCAGTGTCACTGCCTTAGATTATCAGCTGTTTATTTTCTTTGGTTTCAGTCTGTGAGACAGTATCTTGCTTTTGGAATAATATTGAATTCTTTTTCTCTCTGGTATTTACAGCAGGCCTTACGTCATTACTGGAATGATCCCAATTTAGATGAAGGGGAACAGTTTTTGAGAGATTACATTCTGGATAGAAATTACCTTGAGAAAGATTCAGAGAGGTAATATTCAAATTTACTTTCATTTTTATGTTTCTTATTTAACCATGATTAATGATGTTCAGGTTATTTATTTATCTCTTGAGTAATTTCTCTCTTTTCTAGAATTCCTACATATGATGAGATTGTGGGCTTTGATGATGATGAGGTACAGTTTAACCCTTTACGCCCTAATATCAGTATGTATATTCTCCATACTGTTCTCTATACATTATTTTAAGTGTTGACAAGGAGAAATTGTTTAAAAATTAAGAGGCTCTTTAGTTGGTGATCATTTCCTTTTTTCTTGTGACCTTAATGTGTGATTTGAGTGTGAAATTGTAAGGAGAAATGAGATGCTGGTCAGTCTTAGGGGTTATAGAGATGTAAATAGCAGTTCTTAACTAAAAATTAGTGACCATTCCCTTAATTTGCATCAGCTTTTTTAACTCTAAACAATGAACAGTCCCTTATTTACAAAATCAATTAAAATAAGATTTAATATTCTGATAACAATACTTATACTATTAAGGAGTCTGTTCATCAAATTCCTAAATCATGCCAAAAATTGATGTATTTAGTTGTGTGTCAGGAATTACTGTCTAGTCGCTACCAGTCTGCTGGCTACCAATCACACACTGATCGCTACCATGATGAAGTCTGATCACCATCACTGGGAATTACCAACAGAAAACATGGATGAAACTTAGTACTTAAAAAGCCACAAAGATTTGTAAAAGAAGATTTCTGTATCATTTAATTTAGAGTATATCTTGTGCAATAACATAATCAAATTGATCAAGCTTTTGTATCATTCTCTAGGATGAAACAGAAGTTGAGAAACAAGAAGAATTTGAACGAAAGTTCAATTTTAGATTTGAAGAACCAGACTCTGAGTTTGTAAGTACATTTACATACATGATGTAAAATGCAATGGACTTTAAGATACTTCATACTCATGCACAAAGTTGAAAGAACAACCCAGCGAGCCATGATAGCTATTATTCTACATTTTCTGTCAGTATATACCACACGGGTGGTATATACAAACAAGGTGGAGCAGCCAAAGAGACAAAATGATGCGTCAACAATTTAATTACTGGCGATATCTTAAATATTTCTCACTGTAATTAATCCTTGCAGCACATTACTCAAAAAAACAATTGCAGTATTTCAGAGTTTGCAGTAGGATCTTTTTGTCTGCCATTTGTGATTGATCATTTTTAATCCATTTGGCAATGTGTTTATTTTGGAGAAATTAGGGAGGACTACATCAAACCTTTCTTCAATAGAATATTAATTTTTATTAATATTTTTGTTGCTTTAGATAAAAACATATCCCCGCACAATTCAAGCATCTGTACGAAAAACAGATGACCGTCGCAAGGAGAAGAGAAAAACAAGAGAGACAAGGAAAGAAAAGGTCAGATACAGTCAAGGTTTTATTCTCCATTCTCAGTGATGACCCCCTTGAGCCCTACCTTTACTGACTCTCTACTTTTAATTGTTATTATGCAGGAGAAAGAACAGAAACGTGAGGAAATCAAGAGATTGAAAAACCTCAAAAGAAAAGAGATTATGGAGAAGCTTGAGAAATTAAAAGGTCTGTAGATGCACAGTAAATTGAGTTTTTCTTGTTAGACTTGGTTTGAATCTTTATTTTCTTACATGTATTCCCTGCACAGTTTTAACCACAGATACTGTACACTTCTTGACTGTTAAATGATTGTGATAAAAAATATTAAATTGTTCTTGTTTGTAGAAATAACTGGAAACCCAAATGTGGGCTTTAAAGAGGAAGATATAGAAGGTGACTTTGATCCCAAGAAATATGATGAGGCTATGCAGGTGATTTTGAATTTTCCTAATGGGAAATGTAAAGAATGCCATCTCTTGCTCCAAACACAAGAGCTATACATGTAATGATACTGAATAATGTAAACATTCTTTGGAATCTCTGTTGATGGCCAAGATTACATTAGTGAATAACACATCAATCATGTTTAACGCCATCAAAATTCAAATGTGGAGCTTGCCAAAAGCATTGTAATTAATACCTTTGGGTCAAGAGCAGCAATCTTCTGTGTAAGTGTAAATTCCATTAATTGTTTTAAAATATTGGTTACATTGTATTTTGTCACAGAGAGCATTTAATGCTGAGTTTTATGAAGAAGATGAAAATGAAAAACCTGTGTTTGAAGATGATTTGGATGATATTGGTTAGTTTGATTTGTACCAAGTTAAGATATACTCTTCTCTTCCTGATCTAGTCAGGGTTATCTTCATTGTATCTTGATGTGCATGTAAAACAATCCCACCCATAGTAACATTTTCTTTTCTGTGCTGACAGGTTTAACCCTTAACCCTTTAGCTCAAAGATCTAATTGTTAATTCTCCCTTTTAGCAGCTATGCATTTCCTTGTAAATTAGTGACAAGAATTTGGTATTAAATCAAGTTAACAACTTATACTTGATAAGTTTTAAGTATTCTTGTTACCTGTTTGCTGAATAGTGTATGTATATCATAGGGAAAAGTTACATGTTAATCAATTCTCGGAGTTACAGGGTTAACTTGAGGTTAACAATGAAGATGACAAGTCTTGTTGGTATGATCATAAACTGATTTAATCAAATGTTACAGAGCTCTTGTGTAACAGTTAGGGAACATAAGATTTCCTTATTTTAAAGCAGATGCACATGAAGCTCTTTTTTTTCCCTCTGGCAGAAAACTGGGATGAGTGGGAAGGCAATTATGATGAAAATGTGGATGATGAACAGCAAGAAGATGGAACGTTTGGTAAATATTAAGGATTGATGCTCTGTCTTGTCTTCTGTTATTCAGTGTCAATCTTTTCATCGCCAACATTTTACCTTGGTTGGCCTCAGCCACTTAACCCTCTAACTCCCAAGATTTCATTAGTAATTCTCCTTACTGTCTGCCATAAAATTTATGTGATGTTAGTTTGGAGAATTTGGAATTGGATCAACCAGTACTCCCCTAATCAATATTTTCTTTATTCTCATTACTTGTCTGCTTGATATTGTACTGTTAGTGTTAGGAGAAATTCTGTCTTGGTCACCAGTGGGACTTAAAGGGTTAAGAAATCAAAGTAGGCTCATGTAGTAAATTAAATAATTATGACATTCTTTTAACTATTTCAGAACCTCACAGTGAAGATCCAAACTTTAATGTAAGTTTTACTCACGTTGATCAGTGAATTTCCTGAAAAGTAGTCTTTTATTAGAATATGTAGAGCCCCACTGGACACCATAGATACTTAGTCACAAGATTCTCATCATTTTTTGTTTAAAATGATGTTAGGTGTGGATAAGGTGATTGTTTTTTATGTCCCTTGTACACCTGAGCATTGATGAAGTTTCCTAACTAACCAAACTCACTATGTACAGTTTGCATTACTTTTTTATAATTTTCAAGAATGTTTCTTCTTTAGATGGATGCTGATTACGAAGAAAATGGAAATGATCCAAATGAGTTTAGTGGAAGGAAAAGGAAGGGAAGATCGAGATTCGGTCGTGTTATAGCACAGAAAAAACCAGTATTTAATCCAGGTGTGTTGATCTGTAGAGAATATCAGTTATGCTGTTTGGTATACTTCAAGTATCAAGATCTGTTTTAGCTACTTTATATGTCCTTTTAATTAAGAAGAGGAATTTGTTTAGAATCTAGATCATTCCCTTTAATTTATAGATTTCTTTCTCCTCATTTCCTGTTGCTGGATAACATACTCCAATTGTTAGAATAAGTTATTGGCTCAGTATTTCTACATGGTAAAGAGTTGATGTGCAGAACGAGTTATTATCCGTTAGGTTTCTCCATTTCTCTAACCCTTCACTCCCAAGATCTCATTAGTAATTCTCCCTACTGTCTGTCATGCAATTCTCATGATTTTAGTTTGGAGAATTTGGTATTGGATCAACTTATAATCCTCTAATTGATATTTTTCTTAATTCTCGTCACATGTCTGCTGGATATTGTATGGATATTGTAAGGAGAAATTCTATCTTGGTCACTCATGGGTGTTAAAGGGTTAACTTATAATTTCTTTGTTTGTTTTTATCTTAGACGAGAAAACATTTGAGGAATATTTTGATGAATATTACAAACTGGATTATGAGGATATTATAGGAGACATGCCTTGTCGATTTAAGTACCGACAGGTTGTACCTAATGACTTCGGGCTCACAACAGAAGAGGTATGAGCGAGATTTGTGGTAAAAATGGTTATCCCAACCTTAGGATGCATTGCGATAGACCAAAATAAAAACAATCACAACGGCCATTGAGAAAGAAAGGAAAATATCTAAGGAGCTAGTGAAAAGTCCAGAAAAGAACGAGCAAACTGATTGAAGCGCGGGAAAACACGAGCGACCAAGTTAACGCTCTACTTAGTATCCCCCCTGTATGAAGCCCTCTTCTCTTATAGTCCCCCCCGGCCTGGAAGTTGAAGTCTTTTAAAAGACCTCCCTCTCCCCCCTCTCTCTCCTTCCTCCCTCGCTGGCTCAACTTTCGCCATTTGAGAACTGGAACAATTTATAAGCAAACTATACTGCTATCTCGAGTGTTGTATGTTGCTTTCGTTTCATGAGAGTAATCTTCATTTTCCTCTCTTCAGATTTTATCCTGCCCAGACAGAGAGCTAAACCAGTGGGTCTCTGTAAAAAAGATGTCCCAATACAGGTAAAAAATCTGTATTCTGGTACATTTCGTGATAATTAAATCGAGGCACGTTCTTTCCCACTTCTGCGGCTTAGATCACCCGTTGTAAGCATTTCCGATCATGTAGAACGTGATTAAGTTTGAATTTGCCAATTTTCGTTTATTTGAAGACCGAACGCAAAACTTTCTTCTTTCCTATCCCATTTCTGAACAGGACGGTTTTTCGAAAAGGTAATCTCGAGATAAAATAAAATGCTCTTTGATTTTTTTATATCACAGACCTGAAAATGAAGAGTACTATGAAGTTAAAAAGTTTCGCAAGCGGGGGAGAGATCTGCCAAAGAAGAAAAGGATTCTTACCTCACTGGCTGAGAACGAAAGGTGTGTTGTACATGCAGAGTTGAATTACGGCTGTGGCGACATTGTCACGAAAAGGGTCCGTCTTATAACAAGCAAAGTCGTTAAAATATTTTGTGAATGAGGGCTGTACACGTATATGATGCATGTATTCCATGATGCCTGCCGTCAGACATCATGTGGTGAGTTCATTAGTCTTTTTTTACTTATTATGTTATTAATTATTTGTTTTATATTTCAGATCTGACGAAGTTAACGTCAAAAAGAAAAAGTTATCTGACCAAAGTTTACCGGAAAAGAGTAAAACGCTGGAACACAATGTTGATACAAATGGAGCGCGAAATGAACAAACTGATATCAGAAAGAGAACGAAAAAATCTTCTGATAAGATAGACAAGACCAATGAGAAGAAAAGCGAAGACTTACCAGGAGAGGAAGTTTCACTGGCTACAGAAGGTAAAAGCAATGGAAAGAATGAAGGGGAATCAAAAAAGCCGAAAAAACAAAAGACGAGAAATCCAAAGAGACGGAGGATGACGTTTGAGGAGTTGAAAGAACTTGCGGTCAAAAAGCGGCTGCGCAGACAATTTAAAGGCGCAAAGCGAGAAAAACTGAGTAATTTATCAGCTTCGCGACTGGCCTCCTATGGACTTACAAGGAAGAAAAAGAAGAAATAGCAGTTTTTTTTGTGATCTCCAGCGCAACTGATTTTGTTCCTAAAACTGAGATCTGTCCACCTGCCGCTCAGTTTTCCTTGATTGACACGACTTAGCTCTCTCTCCCCTCCCTTCTCTTCACTCGGCACAGTAGATCACAATATAATAAGGGGGGGGGGGGGGGAGGTTGCATCCTACAACTTTATCTACTCATTCCCGTGTTCAAAGTAATCCGCTGATTAAACACGTGCAGTTTAAGAGAGAGGCTCCGAAAGAATTAATTTATGAATGAATTTTAAATGAATTTGCAACATTATTCGTTAATATTGGGAAAAAATAATTAAAATGTCTGGTCATATTTATGATTTATAGCCAACAGAATTACGATCAGCTATACTTTCCATTAAGGATAAATCTACCTTAAAGTAGTGGCCGCGAATCGATTGCGGGCGCTGCTTCACAAAGATAAATTTGAGAAAGCAGTAACCCGCAACTGCGTGTGACTGAGTCAGCAGAATTGCAAGGTTTAATTACACGTCGGGGAAAATAAACGCGTATCATGAAATCTTTTTAAAGGATTGCTTCTAATTGATGAGCATTAGAATGAATCACTGGTGAAGCGATTTTCATGACGTATTTAAAATTCAGTTTCCCCGGGTAATTAGATACTAAAGAAATTTCGTCATAATGGTGCTTTCGAATTATCGCTCTAGAATTGATAAGAGGGCAATCGCGAACTTGTTCCGTTGTATTCCGTTGTTGTTTTTCTGTTACAACATTTTGTTTGAGTGAAGCTTATAGGAAAAGCGACCCATGTATCACGACTGTCACGACGACTATGATTATCACAGTGCTGAAGAAGAACTGTTTTGTCCGAGTAGTGCCGAAGCCTCACGAACAGATAACGATGGATTACGAAGAGGTCGCGATGATTCAGTAGAATCTATAATTCTCCAAGACTACTATGATAATTTGCCAAGGCCAGGAAGTCCAACACGTGATCAGCGTGATGATTATATTCAGCAACTGCTTGAAGCTTTAGACAAACAAGAGCAAGAGATTAAAGACCTTGACTACAAACTACAAGATTTACGGGGAGAGGTTCGGGAATACTTCTCAGGCTTGGAACAGAAGCTGTCCTGCTTCGAGGAAAAAGTTGACTTTGTTATAACCTTGGTGTCCTCGTGGGTCAATCATCCGCCCAACAATCGGGGATGTCGAGGATCTTGTTCAAACCACGTACGAACGGATAACTGCTTGTGCCGTGGTTTGAAGGAACCTCATCGATGCTGTGGGCGTATTGGAGGAGTTTGTGCTTGTTAAAAATTGATCATCTTTAAAATTCTACTCACCAACCAACCCACGTTGTTCTAATACCAGTTGAGAGAAATTCTCTAACCATCGAAGCTGGTTCGTAACGACGACCGCTTGTTTTTTTTTCTTCGGTAATTATACCTTATTTTCTCATTCAACAGTTTGTTTATGATCACTGTAATTTTGAGAATTTTTCTCGAAACATTTTTGTCACGTAACGTGACTCGCGCATATGAGACCACATGATCCTGTCAGGTTTGAGACACAACAAACACAAAGCTGTCGAAGCCTCTACTCGTGGTAAACTTTTGTATATTTGCATTAACTGTTTTGGACATCTCACAGCGCATTGGTCCATCGTTATGATACTTAGATGTGTTCCAAGGTTCCTAAGCGTAAAATCCATATGTCAGCCATCTGATCGGCTATGAAGGTGTCTCTTGATCTGTCGGTCAATTTTCATTTCTTAGCTAAGCGCGCGGTATTAACTTGCGCAGTCTAATAAAATGAGAAGCTTCTCGTGGTTTGTATGGTAGTACGCTTGGATAATACAGCACTCTCGTGAGCCAAATGCGCATTCCGATTAGAGCAATTTTTCACGCAGTCTTGTCAAGCCAAAAATAGTCTCAACGGTCGATCAGAACTAACGAAAATATCACACGGAGCCAATCAGCACTCAAAGAAAAAAGGAGTACGGGAAAACGCGAGGGACTAAGTCTATGGTTTTATCTTGGAGTCTAAGCATAATTGGTTGAGAAGATGGCACACATTTTGAAGACATTTCACGGGGCGAATTACACCAAAACCATTCTAGTCTTTAAAAAAATCGAGCTCTTTTATTTCTCCTTTCACAACATTACAACGTGGCACAAAACAACTTTCTTTATACGCATTTCGTTCATGTGCGAGGGGACTGGTAACAAATTCAAAAACTTACAAAAAAGCTTTACTGTAAGTTCGTCATAAAAACCCGTCTGAGATCTCGCGATGAAATGTTCTGTTTCTCTGATTTCAACCGAAAACTGATGACTTCCATCCAAACAAACGGTTAACACTCTTTCCCGTTTATTCTTCATAAGTCTTCATATTTTTAAAGGCTGAAACATAAGACTTCCCCACTATCACAAATTCGGCACCAACTGTAAGGCATTGGAAAGGTGCTATGATTCGACTTTTTTTCTGCTACAGCAAATAATAATGAAAAAAAGAGACTACATCAGGTAGACCAAATAAGACCCAGCTTTATATTATCATATTCATAGAGTTTTCATTAATGGACTTTCTACCGAATGCTATCGCTTGAGTTTGAAATTTTCTTTGATCTGTAATTGGCACGGAAACAATTCCGTAAACGGACATAGAACAATCAAATTGCACGGAGCAATTTGATTGTTCCTCGAATCATTTTTTCGCTTTCAGGGGGCAGATTCATTTCGCTTTGTTGTCCTTAAGGCTTTATTACTTTCTTTGCGGGCTTTATCGACTAGAAGTGACTAATTTCCTCTGACGTTTAAGTCCAAATGAAGAAACTCTACGACAAAATTCCTACCACGGAATTAACCCCCTCCCCCCTTAAAAGTTAAACCCTTGTGATAACCAACTAAACTCTACGGAAAGCGCGAAATCACATCAGTTTCATTCCAGACTTGAAGGCTGAGCATCTTATGGAGTGGTCACCTTGCCTTGAAATCGAGTTTTTTCTGGAGCAGGTTTGTTACACTGCGGGCAGTTTCTGTAAGCATCTTCGATGACTTTCCTGCAAATCAGCAAAAGAGGAAAACTGGTTCAACGGGTTTCTAAAAATGTGGTATACGGGTTTGCCTAACACGCACGTTACAAAGAAACGGTTGTCCCAAATAGCAACGAAACTATCAGCAAAATTAATCTTCACTTGATTCCTGACAAAATTTAGCATTCTCAAAAGTGATAGACTTGTAATTTCTTTTCACAATATGTATGCATAATTTTAGCAAACAGGTGATAAGAAAAGAGAAACTTTCCGCCGGAGTCTTCTTGATTAAACAATTAATTCTCCTTTCTAATTTACACGAAAATGAGTGACTTCTAGAAGAGAGAATTACTAATTTGATCTTAGTGGTTTAACCCTTTACCCCTAACATCAGTATCTATATTCTCCATACTATTCATTATACATTTCCCAAGGTGCTGACAAAGAGAATTTGTTTAATAATCAAGAGCTGCTTTGGTTGATGATCATTTCCTTTATTCTCATGACCTTAATGTTTGATTCAAGGGTGATGTTGTAAGGAGAAATTAAATTCTAGTCACTCTTACGAGTTAAAGGGTAAACTCACCATTCAAGACGGATATCCGAAGGATTTAAGGGAACTACTGGGAATAACTGGAGTTCCCCCTCAAGACTTCCGCAACGATTATAAACAAATATTCCAGTCTTGTTCAAACCAAATTCTGTAGACAGGAGACCCGGGGTAGGCTCCTCGAACATGTCATCAGTTTGATTCCAAGACTGAGAGAAAACATTCTGGCCAACCACTGTCATGAAAACAATGTCACCCATCTCGCTGTAGATGCGAAAAATGTGTGTAAGAATATAAAGAGCGGCTACTAATCCACTCGAGCCACAAGCCTGACCTTGATGATTCGTGGGGAGAGCTATTTCTTCTTTTATTTTGATTAGGATAACCTGTTTTTATTGAGACAAGTGGGCTGAATTTTCTGATAGGGGGCCCTACAGTGGTACCTTACTGGAATTAAGTAATTGTCCTACTAACCGATTAACCTTTATCTTCCTCTGTGAAAGAAATCGCTCGGTAAACATTTATCCTGTAGAAAAGCCAACCTTAGAAACGTCAGCTCTCTTCCGTGGCGAATTTACATTATCAACTCAGTTGATTAAACCAATTGAAATTATCCATTTCGAAATAGTTGCTTGAGTATTATAGTAACCCCACGCAGAGTGATTGAGCAAGAGGTGACGTAATCTTCGTCCGACGAGAGCGCCCCTATCCCTGTTGACAGCTGAACTAAAGAAATAACCGATGACTTTCGGTTGCACTCGTCACTAACGACTTACCTCCCCTTAGCGACCTCACGCATCTCGTCCATTTTCGCAATGGCCTTGACGCGACAGTCAGCCTGTCATCAGACTCTCTGCCGTCAAGCGGAGTTTATCACCCCTAGGACCACCACGGATCCCTGTGCCCGAGCGTCGAGCACTGGACCCATGGATGGCCGCTGTCATCGTCACCGTCAAAGAGAATCCGACAGCGACACACAAGCAAGCAGAGTGACGAAGAGGAATGCCAACATTCCCTTCGCCATGTTTCGATTTCTGCAATGTTTAAAGAAAGTAATGATTAACAATGATACATAACAGAATGTCAAAACAAATGCCTACTTCGGAAACATTTCAGGACTAATATTTATTCTAGATAATGTTGATTTAGAGATAAAAATTCCTTCAAGCTGCCATCAGAAGCTGGAAAGATCTTTTAGACTCTATTTTCTGATGATCTGATGATCAGAGATGTTTCTTGACTTAGTCTGAAGTTCTCCTTTCAAAAAGTACGTTTAGGTACGATGAGCTAATTGATTGAAAAATTGAGTCCTCTTCCCTCCCCCCCCCCCTCTCTTTTTTAACTGTTGTTCCCATAATGCCACGCAAATATATTCCAACGAATGCTCTCAATGCTGAGAAGCATGCGTGACCACAGGATTGTGATATTGGTGTGACTTATTTCAACTGTCTTGGATTTAACTCCAGTTATTCAATAGTTAATAGTATAATCGTAACATATGACCGGCAGCAAGACTAAATATTTTAACAACGAAGCCTCTTTAAAACTTTCCAAGGCTAAAAATTGCCTGATCGCGTGTGGTAGATGAGAAACTTTCATCAGAAAAGTTGTTCTCTTCCTTCCACCCAGGTGCCCGCAAGTACTAGAGTCGTCACTCAGTGCGAAAAAGGTCGTGTGACGAGCTCAAACGACAGAAACAAAGGGGAATGGCTCACCAACCACTGTATGATTGTTTTTTTGTGTGCGCCTTGCGAAGAGTTTCAAGCGTGAATTCATTTTGCGTGCTAAAATTTCAAACGATTTTCGAAAGCAAGACGCGAGTGAAATTACACATCAAACAGAGCAGAATAGGTTTAAATTACATCACGCGCCTTGGAATCGAGTTTCAATATCTAATTTGAGAGAGATCCATCTATTTTCCTTTAAACAGCAAAACCTCTCTAATGAGTGGTTACTCCCGGAAAAATAAGCCAGACGACTGTTTTACATGGATTGTCCATTTCATGGAGGTTGACTTGCTTTTAATCATTATTTCGTTTGGAAAGTTCTTTGCGTTCTTGACCTGTAAAATGTATAGGTAATCACGTAACATAATATATCAACGGAAAAAGTTGATATATTCCTCTTCTGCATCGAAATTTGAGGACCATAGACTCTCGATGTATTCTTCAAAATCATAAGAACTATTACATAAAGCTGAGTAATTTGTGAAAAAAGTTTTCTTTCCTAGCCCTGTTGCGAAACGAAAATTTAAGAGGTACAGCGAATACTAAAAGCTCGGACTATTGTCGCGCGTTCCAATCTGTTTGTATTTAATTGTACACACGATTTCGCAAACTTGACTGAAATAGTTCCGTTTAGCTTACTTAATTAAGAAGGAGTTGGTTAAGAAGAAGAAGAAGAAGAAGAAGAAGAAGAAGAAGAAGAAAAAGAAGAAGGTTGTTTGTTGCCCAACGTCGCCTCGATGACCCGCGACGGCTCAATCACATATCTGAGAGACTGAACGCTCTGCGTTAAGAGAAGACGGGTGTTGCATTCTTCTATCCTAGACAGGCTTTATAATTTTGCGCGAAGGTGTTACAGGAAATGGCTGCAAACAGAGATTTCATTTTCTACAAAGGAAAGGCATTTTTGGAACTCCTTATCCCTGGGAGAGTCAGGTTTTTAAAAACCCCTGTCCTAAAAATTTATCGGGTACAACCCTTCCAGTTTGATGGCAAGAAAAGCTAGAGCTGGTTAAGCGTAGTAAGCTAGCGTTTTAAGCCAGATTTTGGTCGAAAAAGGGGCAATCGACATAGAATAATATGCGAATTCTGTACTTACGGCTTACAGCGTGACTGCTTTGTCCTGGTCGATTTGCCGACTAATGCTGACAATCCGGTTTCACCGGTGATAAATCGGCCCTCGCAGCAAGTGTCCAATTGTTGACAAGGAGTCATGTTACTTCTGCACGATCCAATTACAGAGTACTCTCAACCTGCGCGTGACAAGCCAGTGGAAAAAAATCGCCCGCGGCGAGTCCAAAGAACGAGTTATAAACATAGGGTCATAACGTGACTTTCCCCTGACGCGCACCAGACGAGGCTCAATTTAGAGATCTCGTGTACACACGCACAGATAAATACATATGAAGGTAAATGGGTATATGAAGGAGAGTGAATATATATTTCATATAACTTTGTAAATCATATTTTGGAACTCTTGGTGGGTATATACATAAGATCTTTCCCCCACGAGAAATGACCCCACGCCCCGGACTCGAGAGAGCAATGGAAATCACGCCCAGTGCGAAGCTCCGTCTACCTCACTCGTGTCCTTATGATCACGCTTAAGTCGCAAACGGACTATACCTCCCGCATAGACAGGCTACTCCAGTTTGCTTGCGGCTGGTTTGTTTACTTACACCTTAGGCTGATTTTAATAAGTATAATTCCTTTTTTCACATACGACACGTATTATGCATCAACCGTTTAATCCCAAGATCTGATCCTCAACTCTCCCCTCAGGCTGCCAAATATTTTCTTGCAGATTGGTAAAGAGAATTTATCGTTGTATTAAAAGACAATACTCCAAAATTGACGTGTTAAAAAGTTACTTGTTCACTCCAGGAAGTAGAGAGATTCTATCAGCACGAAAAATACTAAGCTAAAAATTAACTTTATTCTTTCAACGGAGATCAGGCAAAGGATGGGACTCTAAGCCACTGGGGAAAAGAGTGAGCCGAGAGAAACGGGGAAAAATTTGTAAAGAGCGCTCTGAGTAATGACTGAGGACGGATCTTTCAAGATTTTTATGATTAGTAAACTGATTTAACAAGGGGAGTGATTAATTCTTTCTTTTATTAATCCAAACAGAGAAGCCTTGGCTTAGGCGCCTGGTATAAGCAACCGGCGGCTCTATATATCCGCTCTCGATGATTTAACCCCCCAACTTCCCTTAGATTGACTAGCGTATAATTTCTCTCCACAGTATCACACCTGAATCAAACATTAAGTTCATGAGAATAGAGGGAATGATCAGTCAGTTAAGAAGCTCTTGATTGTCTAACATATTCTCTTTGTCAGTAACATTGGAATGTACAGAGAACAGTGTGGAGAAAATACATCATAATCTAGGTGTGCAGTGAAGCTGAGTAGATGTTTAGTGTTGTCACAGCCTGCTTACAGCACTGGTGTTTCGTTGGCGTCTCAGTGTCCGTTTTAGGCTTTCCCTAAATTTCTTGTATGATAAAAAGTAAATGACGGGATTATAACAAGGCGCTGTTTTGGCAAATAAGGCGGGTAGAGTGGCTACCAGTGGTGTGATGTCCTCAGGTTGGTTTATAATAGCATACAGAGAAACTACGGCGTAAGGCGTCCATGCGAACAAGAAGCAAGTCGACATCATAAATGCCATGCGCCCGATTTTACCCTCGGCTTGGATAACTTCCATTGTAGGTGCAGCGTTCTCTCCCCACAATCCATGCGCATTTAAAGTCATTTTCTTCATGTTGTTGTAAACGGAATAGTATGCTATAACCATGGTAACAACTGGTCCAAAAAAGAAGAATAAGAAAATACAAGCTACAAAAGTGATATCAAGTGGATCGGACGATTGCCAGCGAATTGAGCAACACACACCTGCGCCTTCAGGAACGTACGCTGACCAACCGAACAGAGGGAACGAACTCCAAAGAAGGGCAAACAGCCAAAGTCCAGCAATGATGAGACCAAGCTTCCTCTCAATACAAAACAAGGCTTCAGAGAAGTTTATAGTGATTGCACGCTCGATAGAAAATGTAGCGTAGTGGAGCATTATACCGAACGAAAGGAAAGATGTAATAAAGGCGTACCACGTGCAGGCTCCACCGCTCAAGCGCCAACTTTCTGACGCATTTTTAACAACTCCAAGGGGATATGCTAATACTGCGTGTAGCCAATCACCGACGGCTATACTAAGAATCAAGCTGTTCGAGCGCGTGCGCAGTGTGCGGTCTTTGACAAATGCCCAAATGACAAGCGTGTTTAGACTGAATGCTGTCACAGTTAAAACGACATAAACTGCTGCAATCACGTAATGAATGGGCATAGTGAAGGCTGCCTCGGGATCCATCTCTTTGCTCTTGTTTTTGAGGTCAGACATTCTTGTTCAGTAGAGTTTTAATCTCCTTGAAAATCAAGAAAAAAATTATAAACAAAACTATATAGATAATGATAACTGAAACCAATCCCAACCTAGTTCCTAGCCTACGTGTAGCCATACCCTCCCCCCAGGTGAAACGGAGGGGGGCAGGGTACGGCTACACGTAGGCTACCTGGTTCCTATCGTTTTTTCGCGCTTCAAGCAGACTGCCTGTTTTAACTTTGAGTTGTCATTGGCCAACATGATGTTAATCTTTGTTCTGATTAGTAATTTTGATTACAATGTTTTTGGTTTTTCCATATTCTGTTGAAAACTGCTTTAAAGGAGACATGATTTTGCTCAGTAATATTACAGGTAATTTAGAACGTTTCCTTGCATGCAGTATCAGCAATATATTGTTTCCATTAGAGGTTCTCATGAAGAACTGCAGCAAAGGTGCTGTAGCTACGTAGAGACCTGTACAGTGTACTGTAGCTTCATATGGACATTAAAGCACAAATGTTATTTACATTAATCGTTCCGATCCCAAAATACTGGGTAGCGCCATGTCACACCACAAAAAACAAAACAAAACAACCGCTACTGACCATCCCTCGATATAACGAATATTTTGGTTGTTTTTCAGCAAATCCGTTAACAGGAGGTTTTCGATGCAACGAACCCTCGATATAACGAACTAATTTCCCCAATCCCTTAGCATTTCATTAAATCAAGTTTCCTCTGCATCGATTTTTTTTTATTTGCCACAGGGCTTGGAAACTATTGCTTCAGGTTTCTTCGTGTCCTGGCCCTGGCCTTCTTTAGTATGGAACACCTTGAAATATTATTCCCCCTCCTCTTTCTAATTTCGAAAAATTTTCGTGTTACTTTACTCAGTAGCACCCGTCTATACTCCTAGTGGACAGGTGCACCGGGAGAACAAAGTACCTTACCCAGGAACACAAGATCACAACAGCGTTTACCTCGACCTTTTTACTCAGGAGATCTTTTGAAGGTTTGTCTCGTTTTGAAGATCACATGTTTCCGTGAGTAATACTTGACTGATGTAAAAAATCACTCTTCACTGTGATTGTAAAAAACAGGTTCACAAATTGAATTGTCTCACGTGCTTGGTGCGCTGCTTATCTATAAGCTGTACGTGATGTGGCAGAAATTGTTCAAAATGTGAAAACAACTTTCTGGCATTGTTCTCTCAGTCGGTGGCGATAGAAATTTCAGAGCAGCATAAATCACGGTAGCAATGAGTGACGTTTATTATTATCAGTTGTTCTTTCTCTGTAGGGGCTAAGAACGATTTTACCTTCCTTTCACCTTTTTTCTACGTATGATGCACGAAGTACCTTCTGTTTCTGTTTTGTGACAAAAGGTATTCCCTGCGGTTACGGAAGCCCTGAAGAGTCCTCAAATGATTGAATGAGTTCTTTTGATCTGACCAGTTAAATGAGTTATAGCGTATAGTAGTGATTCTCCTCAGGCTATACTATATGAAATACTTAGGCTGTTATATCTCTCCGTAATGACTTTTTGCCGTTAATTATTTCCGTTCGCGACGTCTAAGGGATTTTATCAAAAAGCGATCTCTCTTAGCGTGAAAAAAGCTTTTGTCTTTTTGATTTTCTCTTTGTCATAAGTTTGAACTTCGGGTGAACTGTCGTCAATCATTATAGACATTGTAAGGCTTTAAACATGCATGTCTCCTGACTGACGGGGCGTCTAAAAAACGGGGTTGTAAAAATAAGTAAATTATTGAGATTTGAATCTGTTCAACACATGACATCTATCATATTATATTATTTATATTATTTTCCAAAGGCGGTGTCTCGGCAACGCACGTTTTTTCTTTTCCGGATTTTTTTTTATTCTGAGAGATGAAATGATGAAACACTTTTTTGAAGAGGGTGGCACTGAATAGTTGAAATAACGAATAAATTTGTGGCCCTCGATAAGATACTCCTCATTCATTTATTGATAAGTCGTCTGCTGTAAGAGACATAAATAACGGAAGAGAAAAGGTGTGAAGAAAATTTGGGGCTTAGCATGGGAGCTTTGAATAGATATCAATAATTGATCAGGCTACACAGCATTCCTGCTAGGTTAAGCAATTTGCCAGTGACAGCATTTTTCAAACGAATAACCAGAATCTAACCCGTGATTAACCTTCAACCTTTAAATTCCAAAGAGTACTTAATCACTGAAATTCAAAAGATTTTCATTATGGAAAAAATTAAAAAAGAAACCATGAAAGATGTCTTATTTACGAATTCTCCGAGGCGAACTGGTTTTGCCATAGCATTCTATTAGTGTAGTGAAATGCAGGCACTTCGAGAAAGCGAGTTTACCTTAAAATCTATATACCAGAACTGTGAAGAAAAATTTTCGATTTACCAAAAAGAAAATGAAACAAATAAATACCAGTCGTGGTTTATACTCATCTTGCGGTTGCGCTAGCCTTAACGCTATTTACGACTACTACATAAAATGGCTGGACGATAACATTTTTTTGCTGATTTACCTTCACATATTAACTGCCACCATGAACCTATTTCACCCCTGTAACAGATGGCGTCGGATTTCAGTTTGTCCAAAGTTGAGCGTTCATCAATATCCCAGCACGCGTGGGCAGTAAATAACCGACTTGATTCCATAATCCAGTTTGATCACACTCTAAAGAAGACTCAACAACTTCCTTACCTTAGCTTTTAAATCAGCCTTTTCATTTACTTTGTTTGATTGCTGGCATCCTTAATCAAAATTTTTATCCATCAAAACGTTGAATGGAGCCAAAAAGGCGCAAAATGTAATGATTAGAAATGACTTTTCATTTACCGTAAGTATTATGGTTTTGATCGTTAAAATGTCATAAACGAAAGTGGCATGACTTTTAACCAATCGTAATGAACAAATTTGCATCTGAACGGAAAGGAAGATAGTACAGATGCGCCCAAACAGTCTGCGAGAGATAAAGATGCTTTGCTTCTATAAAAAAAGGGAATGATGTCGTTTACATAAAGCTAAGATATTTTAAAGAGATACTCTGCAAGACTCTTTCTTCTAGCGATAATCGGCTGTCTGAGGATTTGCTTTAAAAAACTTTCTCCAAAAAGTTTTATGTTTGTTACATAATGCCCAAAAGCATCTACTTCTACATAATTCAGGTTTGTTTTCAGCTATTTTTAATTTCTTTTTAGTTCATACAAAAATCTCGCCCAATGGTATTACACTGAACCCTTTCGCTACTATGATCAGAACATCAATTCTCTGCAGTGCACTCCATACATTGCTTATAATTTGCTTTGACGATTTGGTGCAAAATCAAGCAATATCCCCAACGTTGTGTTTTCCTTTCTTCTCATCAAATTTTTACTCGAAAATGTATTAATGTTGTAATTGGAGAAATTTCTTTTTGGTCACACCTGTGAATGAAACAGGTTATTCTTTCAATTTATTTTTCCGAATGAACTGACTTTTAAGAAACTCGCAAATCTGCCTCGAAAATTCTTTTTTCGCCTTTATTAGTGAGGTTGTAGAAATTAGAACTCACTTATGACAGCTAAACTTCGGGTTGAGCTATTACCACGTGTTATTAGAGTTGCTAAACAGCATTCAGGACAATGAACAAAAACCGACAAAGAAACACTAACCATTGGTGCACGTCATAAACTGTTTGGCCACATGCAAAAACGACTCTCCAGAAAAATACCCCAAAAAGTTTCATAAGAGCAATCATCACTCGTTGCGAATGGTTATGATAAAAATAGAAAATTAAAAATGAAATCCAACGTACATCCTCAGCTACGAAAAAGATAAGTTTTAGAAGCTCAAGGAAAAAATCGATCAGTCGCCGCCAACCTTGTTGGCAGAAAACGTCGAATGTTGCTGTATTATTCAATATTATTTGAAATTTTTTTCACAAAGGTTGTAACTGTAAAAAATCAGACTTAATTCTAAATTTTTAAATTAGCATAAATTAACTAAAAATCTAGCATAGTAGTGGACTTTTCCTGCGATTTTAGAAAGACGCAAACACTTTGTTTTGTACAAGCTACAAACGATATCAATCCTGTTTTATCTAATTGTCTGCAGAAATTTTCAACTCATTCCCTGGCCGCTTTCTCACAAAATTCTACAGATGACTCAGATAAATAGCCCTAAAAATTTGAGACATCTGCTCGTCGGTTATACATTAATTACAAGTAGCAAACATTCCTACCATTTATAGCTGCTCAATGTGAACTTTTTATACTGAGGGCAAAATGTTTCAAATTCGGTTTTGTCAAGAGCAAAATTTCCAGAAGATGTCCTCTATTCTGTAAGACCTGACGAAACTGACTTTTTCCCAACACCATGAAATCGTGCGACTGTGCTTGTTTTAGGGTGTTTGTGTGGTAATCTTAGTGTGTATTGTTTATTTTTTTGTGTGAGAGCTGCTCAAATTTCAATGAGCTCTTGGCAGGATTGGCATCGATGTGGAGGTTATTTCCTCTGGTGCTATTCAGCATAACAATAGCAACGAAAGTAAATAAATATTTCGTAGCTACGAGTCAGATATTAGCTGATAACTAACGAAAGCTCATTCCAATTTAAGAGAATTTTTCTGTTTACTTGTTGCTTTTAGTATGTACCCAAGGTAACAAAGTTTTGTCTTCATTGCGTGGAGCCATACGGTAAAGCATGAATATTTCTTACTGTTTGTTATATCGTGCTTTCTTTTCATTTTATAAATAATCTGCAGGATTCTCTTTTAAATCCTCTATTTATAAGTATTTTTCCAAAGGTTTTATTTGTTGTGACTTGTACACCTCGTGGGAGTCGAAGTAATCTGACAAGTTCTTAAGAATCGCCGCTACTGGATCCGTAAAAAAAGCCATTTCTCCTCAGTGTGGCGGCTGTTCTTAAAGACAAAATATTCGAATATTCAACATATTCTGACTAATTGATCTCGAATCCCTGTTAATCACAAGGCATAAGAGCAAGCTGGTCACTGGAAAATGTCCTCAGATTAACTTTTAGTCCATGATAAACTTGGGAAGATTTACAAGCTTAAGAGAAATGTGGTTTTCATGTCCTCGAGTCTTAGTAAGCTAACATGATTTTGAACCACAACGTTAACTGCTAAAGTTGGAGGAAGTTGGTACAAGTCACTCAAGACTGACAACGTTTCATGGTATCTGCCAGTGAAGATTTCTTTCTTTTAATTAATATTACCATTGAGGTTAAAACCCTACATACATGGTTAGAATCTATGTCTTTTGGCCGCATAACTTATTTCAGACAGTCTCATCCCAAATTAATTGTGTATCATGATTCTTCGAATTTTGCCTCATTTTTGTATGATTTTTACGAAGTCTTCTCCTCTGAAACTTATTGTTTAATGTTAGAAACTTGGTCAACTTTGAGCTTGGGTTACGAATCTAAATATCAATTTTATATGTTTATTAAGTTTATCTTTATTGTATAACCGTGATAGCAAAAACCGGAAAAGTGAATTTACTTCTAAACAAAGGCTAATTCGTTTTCAATTATCTGGTTGTGTCGCATAAATGAAGCAATCAGCGAAGGCCGGCTGAAAAAAACCACAGAGTTAGCCATAACAAAGCAATGCTTTTTGGAACAAACATCTCTGGTCACGGAAAAAGGCTATTAGCTATATGCAATTAATTTATTATTTACATCTCTTATATGCGAGTCTTATATGTTTTAACGCGGTGGCAAACAAAAAGTTTGACTTCTTGTTCGGTCAATAATATTTAAGTTTTTGGAATGTTGGACATTTTCCAGTTAATTTTTTTAAGTTAAAAGTCGCAAGTATAATTTGTCAAAAAAATAATGGCTTTCAAATTATGACAAATGATGCTGAAAATTGTCATGATTTTCTTTCAAACACATCGGCGAAGTGCTCAACTCGATAATGAGCATAAATTTCAATTTTTGGAACAAAGTGTTCCTGCCACTGAGGGTCGATAAGAAACTATTTTCAGAGAGATAGTTGATGAGGGAAAAAAAGTCGATAAATCGATCGAGAAAAACCTATTGACTTAATGCTATATCGTGCAAGTGAAAAATGGAAAGGAAAAAAGTTACAAAAGATATAAAACTTGTTTTTTTCCTCGACCAGACGACACCAAATTGCTCTCTGCCAGATAACATTCGACCGAAATTGTGAAGCAAACCTTTGCCTAATCCTCAAGGGCCTCAATTTTAAAATTGTTGCATTGCAATAAAATCCTTTCTTTTAGAAGATTCTTAGACATCGTAATCTTCACATTTTATTGGTAATGTTTTGCAAATTCGGTAATTGTAGACAGATGTGATTTGCCTTGTGCTGAACACGTACAGAATAGACTCGGTGCAGTTCAATGCAAGTAGTTATTCCCAAAATACCTCCAGACAAGCGTTTCTTCAAAGGCGACGCGACCTAAGTGTCCTTCTTCATTTTAGCCTACCTTTTGTCCAGAGTTTGACTTCCCTGTGAACACTGAAAAACTCCACGAAGGACTACGTTCCAGAGTAACTGAACTCTTTCTAGCATGTTTTTGGCTGACTAGTTGCCACTGAGGCTCTTAGAGGAGCGGGGATTTTCATGGATTGTTGCTCTTGAAAAACAGGTTGTTTTATATCCTTGTGATTTTTTTCATTGGATTAAAAGCCACAAGGCTCCACCCCCACTGATTTCACCGAGGACTTCCTGCTCTGTTGTGGTTCTATAGAAGTGTATGTCGTATAGATTGAACAAAAACGTTGTTGAGTTTAATTTAAAGAAAACAAAGATATCTTATTCGAGGCTGGATTCAGTCGGAGCTTAGTGCTTAGTGATCGGTATGGGTGCACTGACCAATCATTTCTAGAATTTGTAATCGCATACATCTTATCAAAAATTTATCCGTGAATTATGCGTGAAAAGTTAACCCACATCTATTGAAATGCACTTTCTTGTTTAGACTAAAATGAAGCATATATATCCTACTAATGTAAACCAAATTGAAAACACTTCCTCATTGAGGCAAGAAAACACATTATTTACCTAAACATATATTTCTTTTATTCAGAGCTAGATTTTAGAGCCCAGAGTAATTTGGTTTTATCAACTGAGTTGATGACGTAAATCGGCCACCGTAAAGACTTTCAAAGCTGGCGTTTCGGGCGTTTGACCTTCGTCAGAGCGAATGACCCTGTTCTGCTCTCCCACCTACGCTGCACCACAGTTTCTCTAGAACCTTACCTCCTTTAAAGCCCAGAGTTCGGTTATAGCCTTAACTTAACCATTTAGTTCAAAAGATCTAGTTGTTAATTCTCCTTTAGAGCAGCCACTCATCTCCTTTAAAATCAGTAACGAGAATTTGGTGTTAAATCAAGATAACAACTCCTACGTGATAACTTTGAGTATACTCATTACCTGTTTGCGTATAATGTATAAATATTATAGGAAGGCGTTTCGTAATAATCACTTCTTGGAGTTGAGGGGGTTAATGGAGATAAAAAGATATAAAAAAACGAACGCTTTCACACGCAAAAGACATTTTAAAAGTTGTTATGACTTAAACTCTTTAATAGCACTTCCTCCAATCATCTTAAGTTACACGTGAACAAGTTTTGTGCAACTTAGTCATACAGGATACAAGAGATATCGAAAAAGTTCAAACTATTTCTGGACACTTCTCTTTCTGTTTCTTTGACGTTTGCATCAAAACAAGCAACTGTCTTTTTTCTTGCTTGTTTATCATTTTTGATCAAAGTTTCCAGATTGAAAAGCTTTTTTCACAACTGAAGATAAAAAAAGAAACTACACGTTAAAATTCCATGAGAGTATTATGATGATCTATAATAAAATATTCATCATGAAACAAAGTACTGAAACGAAAATTTTCCCTGCAGAAGTTTTGTTTGTTTTTGCTATATACTACCAACTTGGGCATAAAGATTATTTTTATAATTCTGATGTCAAGTTTTTCTAAGCACAAATAAAGCTTGTTCAACTTCCTAACATTAAACCAATACACTCTAACATCAGTAGCCATATTCTCGACACCCTTCCCAGTACATTTCCTTTGACACTTACAAGGAGAATTCGTTTAACAATCAAAACTTCCTAGGTTGGTCATCCTTTCCTTTAGTCTCATGATCTTAATGAGTGATTCAGCAGTATTACTGAGAGAAGACATTATTTAATAAGCTCAGTTAAGCACGCATTCTGATTGGTTCTCACTTATGATCTATTGGAGGACAGACGTATAGATGACGTCATCTTTAAAACTTTTTAAAATTCTTTATTATATAAAACAAATAGATTCCAAGTTGCCGTGCGTCTGTTCAGTAATAGATCACAGAGGACGTCAAAATATGGCAAGAATATCAGTGACACATTCGGCTGCGCCTCGTGTGCCACTTTTTTGTTCTTACCACATTTTGACGTCATCTGTGATCTATTACAGAACAGACGCACGGCAACTTGGAATCTATATTTTTAATCAGATGCTTATCACTTTAATCAGATGCTTATCAGATGCTTATCAACCAGTACAGTTGTCCACTCTAAGGTGTTTCTTTTCGCCGAATCAGTGTTAGATCAGTCGTTGTTACGGGTGATGAGGTAGTAGTGGCATCAGATTGAGGCTGTGACTCGACACTCTCTGAACTATAACTGGCTGAAAATTCGGATGACGCACTAGGCTTGTTTGTGGTGGCCTGGGTTGCAGTAGTGGTCGTCTTAATCGGACAGTGTCGTTTACACTTCGAACCTTTTTTGGTATATTCCTTTATCAACGCATTCCTGCCATATAAATAATAGGCAGTTAAGGACTACATGTGGCTAGTGATAACATAATTTTTAGAGAATTGAAAACAATCTTTAGATTCTATAATCTAGAAAGTGGTGATGCAAAAGGTTTGTCCCAAGACAGAAAAACCTGCCGCATCTCATATATCTATAAGTACCTACTAGAGAAAGATGAATCAAGACTATAGAGACTAATTGACACGACTAAAATCGAAATAAAAAATCGGGCGCTAGTGTCAAAAAAAAAACCTAGTGTCTCAAATCCGAAATCGACCACGAGTGGCCAAAATCCAAAATCAGACACAAAAGTGCAAAATCCAAATTCGGGCACTAGTGTCCAAAATCCGAACGTGACACTAGTGTCCAAATACCAGGGACGGACACTAACTAAAATGTTTCAGCAACTGGTTTAAAGATGAAGAGTCATGCAGCTTACCGTACAAACGGAAACATCAGATAGCTGCGAGGCATCTTAAAATGATAAGCCAAGAGTCCGCAGCGATCGAAGATGAGGAAATCGTCCTTACTTCCTCCTAACAATCCCATGATGTCTCGGTCTGCTGGCTCCTGGTAGACTGGGAACGACACTCTCCTTTGTAGCTCTGAGATGGAACCTGAAGCTCTCTTCATGTTTAGAATCATAAAAGAAATATCCGTGAAATTCCTGTGCGGATGTAAGAAAAGAGAGTAATTTGTTTGGGTTGGAAATTGTTTCTTAGCAGTTTTAAACTAATGAATAAGAATTACCACCTTGAAAAGTATAAAGAGTTCAGTGCTTTGTTGCTGCTCGTGGTTTGGACCTGAAAGATTACATTCGATCCGGGTCAATTCCAATTCCCAAAGAAAACAAATCCCATGACCGACAACTTTTCACGAAAGCGAGGATGCTGGAAGATTTTGTGGGGTCTGGGGACCACGTTTTCCAAAATGATTTACTGAACTTCGGCCTTGCGTTGCATTGAGGAGAATAAAGCCTCCTCCACTTACTCCTCCCCTCCAAAACTTCAATATTTTTCTCTTTTGCAAGGGCTAAAGAAAATGGAGTGAAAGATGCCCTACCTCTTCTTAACGACCCCTTTGAGCATTCGTTCCATCAGCTGAGCCTGCCATTTGCAAAATTGTCAGCTAGCGAGCATCAGTCCCAGGAGTACCACGTGACCTTTTGATCTTGCTTCAGCCAATGGGTTTACTTGTTTTATCGACCAGGAGTGAGGCCGCTGGCATATTTTCGCGCTCTCTGTTAGCACCAAGAACGAAAGCGACGCAACCAAAATCGACGTGGTAATCGCATGCATTGCGTTGAGAAGTTCCTCTCCTAAACTACAATTACCTGCAGAAGCGAGCACTACGCATAATAAGCACTAATGATTTATCTTATAGACAGGCTTTAGAAGTTTTTAACAAACCTACCTTGTATGACAGGAGAGAGGCGATTGGTAACTCAATGTTTCAAGAGGTAAGTAATAACAACAATCACAAGCTTTATTCGCTACCTTGGCGAACACGGAAAAATCGCAAGTTCCAAGTTCCTCGTTTTAAAACCAATCGTTTTAGAGACAGTTTTATTGTAAGCCATTGCCAATAGCACGTCCTTGTACAATTCATATATATTAATTGATCTGATTTCGAATAATTTTAATTGTATCTTAATTAATTTAGTGTTTACATAATGATAAGCTTTATTATTGTTTAATTCTTATGAATTAACTTTCTTAATTTTCATTATATAATTTACAGTTATGATTAATTTACGTTTTACATTTGTAAAAATTATCGTAATTCAGCCCTCGGGCTGCAAGGGTAATTTTAATAAAACTATCTATCTAGTCTATCTAAAAGAGAAAGAAGGGTTTGAGTATAACAGAGTCGCATCCGTTATTCAGTATTGAGTTGAAAATCCTCGTCCCCTCCGATACAGACATACTCAAAATGGTCCTCTCGGCGTTGTCTGAACGACAAGTCGGTCAACCACAGGCGGCCCAAGCTCCAGCTGTGAGATGATCATCTTACGCAATAACGGTGATGGCGGACGTATAAGAGTTTGTATAGGAATATTTACGACCGCTCTAAGGAATAAAAAAAATACGTCAAATTCTCAATAAAAATACCTCACCTTACTTCCACAGCGTATCGTTTGTTATCTGACCGCTTACTTTGAAGAAAATAACTCATTTTAGCGAGTTGTCCATTTCGAGGTTTTCTACGCACATAAGAAAAGCCGAAGGATGAACATTCCATTTTCGAACGCCCGATCCGAGAAGCTTTTCTTATTTAGGTTGAAAACCTCGAAATGGAAAACTCATTAAAATGGGCTCTTTTCATCAAAGTAAGTAGTCAGACAACAAGCGATACACTGTGGAAGTAAGGTGAGGTATTTTTATTGAGAATTTGACGTATTTTTTTCTTCCTTAGAGCGGTTGTAAATATTCCCATACAAACTCTTTGACTGGTATGGCACAAGATGATCATGTTACAGCTGGAGCTTGGGCTGCTCTCAGCCTGAAGATGTGTTTATTACAGTTCTTTTCTATATGCGCGGAAAGATCGCGCAGTTTTACCCATCGCATGAGTGTTTTAGCCCCCTTTTATCAATTGTGTCTTAAAGAAAAACACTTAAATGTGGCGGTATCCTTTACTGTGACCTCTCTGCCTTCATCTCGCGAGGGGCACAGGCGTTACCTTCAAATTGGACACTAATTTGTGAGGGAGTTTTTTTTCGAAACATCCTCTAGAAAGTGGTGACTTTACCCTTAAACAACTGGCATTTTCATCTTAACCCTGACGAGCATTCACAAGTTTAGGATGATAAAGATTTTAGTGTAAACAGAAGACAGTCAACGATTGCAACTAGCGGAGCGAGATCTCCGATCTTTGATACCACTTGATCAATGTTCTGTAATACTGGCGACAAATATGCCTATGATTGTTCGGCAAACTCACTATAGCAACGTTCTAAAGAGACAGATTGCACTTTTGCTTAACCCTCAAGGAATTTCCCTCGTCACCACATCGCCTCCTTGACCATTTTTACACCCGTCCGAGAGATTAGTACCCGAAAAAAGAGCCCGAAATTGATGTGAAGAAATATCAATTCTTAATTCTGGTAAAATTTATCTGAAACTCACCAAGATTGCCGGTTCCAATAATGCTCAGATCAAAATACCTTTAATCCTCCTCAGAGTACGCTTTATGGCTCGGTTCCAAATATGAATTCTGCTGGACAGGAAACATTACACCCTTGCACCCTGACGTTCACCGCAAGCACGACAACCGTGACGCGATGTCACGGTTAGTCACGTTTAGTCACGTTTTCTATCAGTAGGTGAGGAACTCTTATCCTGAGTGTGCTTTCAGGAAATGAAATGGGTATCAAGGCAAAAGTCAAAGGTCAAATATGCTCTGGTCGAAGAAGAAAAAAGTGTCCACTTGTAAAAGAAGACCTCTCGAAAAAATGACGAGGTGTGTGACGACCGGAAACATTAAGTACAAACACACGATGAGATTTAACAATATTAACTATTTCATACATTTCTTGACAACTTAAGAAAAATATTCATAATCAATTAAACAGTAATTAACTGTGTTTTCTATTACCTTAATCCATTTTTTAAATATCTTTCACCTTCACATTTGCTCCACTCACCAGTTGAACAATCGAAAATCTTAATTATCGTATCCGTTTCCCCTAACAAATAACAGAATGTAATTCAAGCCGTCATTGATATGAAGCACAAGTATGATGAACCGGATAGTAAAGTGTGATCTCATAAGCGTGTAAAGTATTGTTGACAGTTCGTGTATCTATATATAAACACAACAATATTGTCATGCAATTTCTGTCGCGCGACAAGCGTGACAAACAATGGCAAGAGCACTGTAACCTTTTAAAAATAATTAAGAAAGACAGCTATCAGTTTCCAAGTGATAACAAAGATAGCGTTGAGACTTTACTTTCAGTCTTGCCAATATAACCAAACAAATATATAAGTATTATGTGTTCACACTGTATGGTTTAAAGCAAGTTTATGCTGTCCCAGAGCGGTATGAGTTTCAAAAAACCTTCCACATCGCACACAGGCCCAGTGGAAAAGCTCTTCACTGTGCTGATTCAGACTGACTTTGGACTGAAAACTCTTAAAACAAACGCCACAAGTGTACAAGACATCTACAAAACGCGATGGATCCCTCAAACGGCCGGTGCGAACGCAATAGACACGCTTTAAAAACGCTTGTCTTTTTTTAAACCACAAGGTGGAGCTAAAATGGAAACCGTACTCTAAACCAGAATACTCTGACGTCTCAGAATTTCGGCGGCTGCGACTCCGCTCTTCTAGGCTGTCAACGCTTTGCTGTCGAATCCAAAGAGTGGTGCCTGCATACAATTCCCTTTGCACACGTGGCTCTTTGTGTCTACAGTATGGGTGGTAACGCTTTCTACGTCGTCTACGTCTAGATGTACGACTACCACAATGCTTAACATTTTTCTCATTGTGCTGTGAACCGCTCCGGCCTCTCCTTTGCAAATCTTGTCGGGTTTTCCTTTCATCCTCTTCGTGATAAATTTCGACTTCTCTTGACGGAGTTCGCCGTGTTGTGATTCGCAAGTTGTCACCTTCCCACGTGAACGTACGGTTTTTTTCTGCCAGAGCTGCAGAACCATAGAGCAAGGTGGGATACTCAAAGATATTTTCCTGGTACTCAACTCTCTTAGTTTTCACATAGCGACATTTTCCAATCTTTTCCAGCTCTTTCAAGACCCACAGTCGCCGGTTGTTTAGAGTGAACCATTCCCATTTCTCGGGATAGAAAACAACCTCTATTGCAGGGACATCCTCCAACAGAATTTCTCCATTCTTTATCTGAGTGAAGGTCTCCGAGAGGGGAATTCCGTTGTCAAATTCCGATGCGAGTAAGTTCTTCGTGAAGCGTATTTCAGAAGGCTTCAAGAGGACCATGTACACGAAACTCATCTTGAAATTATTGCAATACTTGAATTCAAACGAGTTGTCAAACACATTGTACCACGTGAAAAGATGGGCGCGAAGCACTCCCTGGGGAGTCTTGCAAAAATGTACTCGGCAGGGATGGGAGAGAGGAGGACAAAAGTTTTCAGGTTTTCATCTACTGCTCTTCATATTCACAGTCATCCCTTCTATTTCTCGTAGGGGAGAAAGAAAGAAACAAAACATAGTGAAAAAAAAATTAATCAGGCGACAAAAAAAACCCCATGAGAGAAAGACCAGAAAATTAAATTCGTGAAAGATAATGTGGTCACCATTGATGATAAAACAACAAAGAAAAGGAAATTTTTAAAAAATTAAGTGAGTTTGATAAAATAAAAGGGATTTTTGATGAAACTATTTTAAGGTAAGGGGCTATGACAAAAGCTGAGTACATGTACACAAATTTCACCCGTGTAGGGTAGGGGTAAGAGTTAGTACCCAATCTCTTTCAACTTTCTCGGAGTTTGAAAGCTTCAACTAACAGTGTAGCATGGCCAAAGCATTTTCGTTTCTTTTCGTTATTTTGAGCTATTCAAGCTATTTATCGATAGCTGTAGAGGTGGACCCAACTCCTGAAGAGTGGGTGAATCCTTGGGATATGACTAAATACGATGCAGCTGCTAAAACCATTGATCACGGGGTGAGTTTTTTTCATACTCATGTACATTTACTTCCGCGCGAAGACCGAATCCATCTTTTTAGCGTTATCAAATAAACAATTGTATCGTATCGTTCACTGGCAATGCTGGTTTCTCCTGCTCAGTGCAGACCTGTGACCTCTTAAATGAACCTGGTGAAAACGATGAATCGATTAGAGGGACGAGCTTCTAAGTTTGAGGGCCGGTTAGAGAGATCGTAGTTGTTACCGGGCTAACCCACTATGAAACTGAGTGATTCCAGTCGATTATTGATACAAACTTCCACAATTTCACAATGAGGTGGAAATGTGTATCGTTAAAAGTAACAGTTGATTTAGATTTTTCTTTTCTTTTGTTTTAAGTGATGTGAGTGCAATCAATTGGGGTAATCAGTTGTATCATTTTTCATCTTTAAGGACACTTTAAGTGGCCTTCCAAAAGATGGTGATTCCAGTCCTAACCACAGTCCATCCATGAGCAGGCTTAAAGCACAGCTAACACAGTGTCAGAAAGATTTGAAAAAGCTGCCTGCTCAGTGCCAGGCATGTGCTGAGAAAACTGTTGCTAATGCCTCACCATGTGAAACGCCACATTTTAAGAGGGTAATCAGAATCATATTAGGCAATCTTGAAGATCGTGGTGATCATGATGTGACAATTACTGCTTCAAAAGATGACACTGCAACCTTAGAAAAATTCATCAAATCTGATGATGGAAACATCCAAGATGCCGCAGAAGTAGTCACTGCTATCATATCTAACTTTAAAAGCAAAGGTAGCATGTATGACTTTAACCAATGGGACTCATCATCCTTCACTTATGTAACTAAAGAGGCAGTTCTTGTCCTGGCAGCACTGTTTTTTGTGCTCTGTGCTGCAGTGGTTTTTGAGAGGTATACAACTTTAACTTGGCGGAAGCAACTTTGGTGTGTTCTTTTCCTGTGCTTTGCTGTAAGTATTCCATGGGAGTGGTATCATCTGTACAGAAAGGCATTTGCTTCTAAACAAGCGCAGATGGAAAAGGAGATTCCCAAGGAGTGCCGGCCAGATCATCAGTTACGACCACTTGAGTCTCTAGTACTTTGGTTTAGGAACTCATTTACCTTTACAGATGACATTTGTATCAAATACCAGGAGACCTTGCTTGTTGATCCATTCTGGGAAATCTCTCCCTCTAAAGTAAGTATATTTTCATTGAGGTAATCTTGGATCCTTTCTCTCCCAAGATCTCATGAGTAATTCTCAATCCTGCCTGTCACACATGTCAAATGATGTTAGTTTGGAGAACTTAGTTTTGGATCAACTAATTATCACCTAATTGATATTGTACTATATTCTCATCTATATTTTAAGGAGAAATTCTGTCTTGATCACTCATGGGAGTTAAATGAATTACAGCAGCTCTCTAAAAGAACTCTTACTGCATCTCAAGCCATCTGTTTAGATTTAAACTAAAACTTGTTTATAATTCATATTTTGAATTCCAATCTTGGGGTCGGTCTTTTGTACTTGCCTTGGTTCTTGTCAAGTTTTCATAACATAAATTAATGTTGTGATTTCTGTTCTCTTTATGCACTGAAGATCATGGGATTTACTCTTTCAGAATTTTGATTTGTTTACAAAAATGTTTACAATCCTACACACTAAGCACCCTCTTAGAAATGGTGATGTCCATGCTTAACTTTGTGATGGTTGTGTTAACTAAAAGTGACAAACTAATCATAATGTCGGATATAACTATTGAGTTTGGAATCAAGTATTGAAACAATACAGTTAATTGAGACTGTTTTAATCAAGGGGCAAATATGCAAAGCAAGTTTCAGATTGTGTTTAAATCAGTGACATCTATATGAACTCTTTCAGGCAATTTCTGCAACAGTGGCCAGTATCATTGCTCAGCCATTTGAACACATTGCAGAGGCCTTGGGCAAGAGTTTTCGAGCATTGTTCAGAGAGGTTCCATTGCAATGGCAGCCGTTTGTGTTTATTGCTGTAATCTTTTTAATTGTTGTCATCATTTTCACAATTAGTGGATTACAAATAAGGCTGCCATTTGTAACAATCGCAACTACCACTGCCCCTGCCCTGCCTGGAAATATCCATGGAAATCTGCAACAGCTTCAGGACCAACTCCAGAATGTTGTGCGTCACTTAAATGATGTGCCTGCACAACCCAGAGGTGCAATTGATAATGCTCCCTTACAAGAGGACATCCACAATCGTTTAGGGCAGGTTTATGATGTTTTGAATGCCATAAATGAAAGACAACAGAGATGGGAAGAGGACATGCAAAGAGCCCAGCCTATGATTCAACAAGCTCCTCAGCCAGCACCAGAGGGCCTTGGTCATGTGGAGGCTGGTGCTACTGTGGTTGGGGCACAGGAAGAGAGACCCGAGAGACAGCCTGTCTCAGAAACACACCCTGTTGCAACAACATGCGCTGTTACAGAGACACACCCTGTTTCAGAGACTTCCGATCCGAAAACTCCTGTTCAGAATATAGATACTGCTCATATGAGGGATTTTGACTTCCAGGAATCTTGATATATTCTTATGTAAAGTTGATTCTTTGCATATGAATGAATGAGATCAGTAAAGTTGTTCAATCCCTGCAAGAGGCTAAAGGAAAGTGCAAAAGACCAACACTCTAATTTATTCCTGGCTTGTTCTGATAAAATTGGTTAGGGTGCCTTAGCATAGGAGTATAACTGGAGAAATTTGACAAGTAAATAATCCAGAAGAAGTACTGTTAGTAGTACACTTACATAAGGTTTTAACAGCTTTAATTTTTGTTGTTGAAATTCCACTACTGAATTTCTTTCAGTGTTAAATTAATTTTATGTAAGAAAATAAATAGTGATGTAGTCACCTATGAAATGTGAACAGTTCTCAACTATAATTCAATAAGTTGTATGTCTTCCTGTGATGTGATTTGTAACTCTCCCTACTGGTTGCCATACCTATTTTTGCTAGTTTGTTGAGAGCATTCAGTGTGATATCTAGGAGAAACCCTCTGGCTAATAAGTTTTCGTTATCTCTTCACCTTAATACTGGGTAATGTAATGACAATGTAGGGAAAGTAACAAAGTAGTAAGTGCTGCAGTATAGTTAGTGAACTCAAGTGTTCAACACCAGGAATCTCTAGTTCAGCTTCAGGGTGTTGATCAAGAATCAAAGTGGAAAAAAAATTGCAGGTTAAATCTTGATGGACTGAGATTTTTTGTATATTGTGAAGTGAAGATTATGCCTTTGTTACTTTACCCTTTTTTTTCATTTTAGTGTTTCCTAATGAAAACCCTGCAACTCTACTGATTTTGAAATAACTAAGGTTTGAGGTTTTTTTTCAGAACTTTTCTGTTTTAAAGGAAAAAAATTTAATGTGACTGAGTTGTTACTCTCATTTGATAATCTCCTATCAGTATGCTAATGCAGTAGCTAGCTGAAGATTTTATTTACTAACCATGTATTAGTAACAAATGTTCATACATTAAGAACAAGGCGTTTTTCTTTCATTGAGTGTCTCTGAGTAATTATGAACAGTATCTATGAATGTAGCAAGTTTTTCTGGTTCGTGATCTGGATGCATCCCATGTCCCAGATTAGCAATGTATCGTTGGGTACCAAACTTCCTCAACATGTCTTTCACTGCATGTACTATGTCCTCCTGCAATTAGACATTTGCAATTAAAAAAATAAAAATATCAGTTAGACTTTTCAACCAGATTTAGCTGAGGCACTTGTAAAATTATGAGTTATGGTTCTTCCTTATAGATAGGATTTTGTTCTTTCAAACTTACCTACTTAAAAAAAAAACTAAAAGGACCTTTTGTCTACTCTTGAAAAATTGAAATTTTTTTTATGACATGATTGGATCAAATTTTAAAGTGAACATCTCTATAAAGGTGAATGACCGCTATAAATTAAAGCAGATAGTGTTCACAAATAAGATATTGGGTAGAAAAAGACCTTGAAATACTGAGAAAGGTGATCACTTACATGACTGCTGTACAGACAGGCTGGATCAAGATTCCCTTGAAGTGTCACTGTTGGTGCAACAATCCTGCCAAATAGAAAATCATGCCCAAAATTTTTTTTGAACACTACCGGTAACTTTTTCAGACAAGTGAAAATTGTATGTAAAATCCATGACTGACTTCCTAGATCCACAAAAGCAAAGATTTATGGAGCAACAGCTCATACTTGTCGCTGATTATAACCATGATTGGCTCATCCAGAACACTCAATCATGGGACACAGCATAACCAGTGTGTCGTCATAAGGGTGTTGGCTAATATCCGCTGATATAAATCTTTTTTGTGGTTTAGTAAGGAGGTGTTATGATCTAACCTTGCATCTTTTGCTGACATTGTCCAGTCCAGACTGATAACATCATATCCAATTTGAGAGAGGTCTTTGATGGCATAGTGTGCACCCTTGGCAAAAATAGTCTAACAAAAAAAAGGTAAATGTTCTAAACACCTGTGCAGTCAACAATACGTAATTATTAATTCCAAATCATAAGTTTTAAAAATGACCCCTAGCTCAGTCCTTACCATTGGAACCGCATCAGGTCCTAACTTTTCTTTGACTTTTTCAGCTATTTGTTTGAGGTACGGCAGTGAACACAGCATGAATGTATCATAGCCAATAACCTCTGCATGAGACTCAAACACTTGTAACATCTATGAAGGAAAGAAAGCAGAGGCAATTATAACATAATGCTAAACGAATCATCCATTGTTTTTTTTTTTGTTTCTAAAATTGCAGACCATTATAACCAGCTAATCCCAAATGGGGATGATACATGTTTATTGGAAACTGTTCAGAATATAGTCTGTGATACATAATTTTGTATTCCTTTATAGAGGGCAGGGGGACCCTTTAGATAGTTGGTGGCCCATCACTGCTAGATTTTGTGCCATTTTCTAGGTATGAAGTTACTGGGAGTATTATGACTCCCACTGGATGGGACATTAATTGATTGCAGGTTTCACCCACCCACAGAAATTGGTTGAGTTTCTGATTTACCCTTTGGCGGTACTTGGTGATCACTTCATGATCTGGAGTACAATATGCTAGAAGCCAGGCTACCAAGTCTCTTGCATCTTTTTGTTCATAGTTTGGGGAAAAAAGAATCTTTCCATACATAAGTACAAAGTTGACAGTGCTCATCATTAAGTGTAACCATTTTCCTTATAAAGCAGTCACTTTCAATCCACATCATAAGTGACTAAATTGTGAGACAAATTACACTTTTTAAGCTATGTAAAGCACTTTTTCACCTGTGCTCCAGCACGAACTTGTAGAACCAAGTAATCTACAATCAAATCAGTCATCTGTTGTAACAGCTTGCTAGAAACTTCCAAATGTTGGTTTAAGAATTTACGAGCTTTATTAAAAGTTTTGCTGCTCTCTCCTTCAATCATGTAACACATTAGAGTCCACTGTGAAACAAGGAATAAAATATATAGTAAGCAGAGGCTCATATGATAAAACTATTCTTTAAGTTAGCAGTAACATCTTAAAAACTAGTGGTATCATCTTAAAATCTGTTCATTAACCCTTTAACTCCCAAGATTTCATTAGTAATTCTTGTTACTGTCTGCTATACAATCTATGTGATGTTAATTTGGAGAATTTGGAATTGGATCAACCATCCATTCCCTAATTGATATTTTTCTTTATTCTCATTACTTGTCTGCTTGATATTGTACTGATAGAGTAAGGAGAAATCCTGTCTTGGTCACTGGTGGGACTGTGGAGAAGAGAACAAAAAATTGTGTTTTCTTACCGGAGCTCCTGTAAAACCAATGAGAGGAACTTTTCCTTCAAGTTTGTTCCTTGTTAGAGTTATTGCTTGGAAAACATATCCAAGAGTCTTCTCTAAATCAACTTCTTGTACAAGTTTCTGTGGAAGAAATCACCTTGTTCATTCTTTTGTCTATACCTTACCCTCTATTAATAATTCTAGAATTAGGAAATTGCAGAGAAGTATGACTTGTTTCTTGGAGATGAATTTTTCAATCACATTCTATTCATACCTCAATGTCACTTGGTTCCCTCAGGGGCTCGGGAAATACTGGACCCTAAATTTGGGTAGGGAATGAAATAAAACAGTTATTGTTTACTTTAACTAATAACAATTTGGTAATAATTATTTCATTGAAAGACACCTAAATGCAAGTTAAAGTTAAATATCAAACCTTGCCAGGTATCATTTGAACTGTCATCCCAAGAGCCTGGGAAAAAAAAAGATATTGTGTTACAACTTTTAATGAACTTTGTTGGATACAAAGTATCTATAAACACATTGGTGAACATTCAGGGTTCTCATGAAAAGATGATTGGTGGGATAATATTCTCCTCGTCAGAAAAAAAATATGTCTCAAGCCATTGAAATTAAATGTAAAATTCTTTTTAGTAGCCATATGAAAAAAGGAGAAATGGCTACTATACTGGCCTCTTGATCTAAAGACCTTATTTAATCCCACATACTCTGACACTTTTACTGCTACCTCAGGGTTGAAAACACAAGGAAAGATTGAGAGAGGAGAAAATGGAGAACTCTATGGTGATTTTCAAGTGAAAAGGGGTAAATAAAGCCCTCAGCTGAGTGAATTTTGTAGCATTAAGTGAAGTAGACAACTGGAGGAAATAGATTTTTAAGATTTACATGAAAATAATGGATTAACATTATCATAATACCTGAGGGATAACAAGAATATCTGAAAAGATAATGGCTGCATCCAGAGGAAATCTTCGTATAGGCTGAGGGAAAAAAAATAAGTATATTCTTGAACTGAGTGTAAGAAAATACAAGTGAGTCTTTATTAACCCTTCACACCCTAACATCAGTCTGCATATTCTCTATACTCTTCTTTATTCATTTCCTAAGGTGCTGACAAGGAGAATTTGGTTAGCAATCAAGAGCTTCTTTTGTTGTGATCATTTCCTTTATTCTCATGACCTTAATAAGAGATCAGCAGTTATACTGTAAGGAGAAATTAGATGCTGGTCACTCTTAGGGTTTATAGGTTTAAGTACACTGTTGGCTTCAAGCTTCAAAAATCAAGAGATCATTCATTTATTACTAGAGAGAAGTAGAATGACTTTAAATTTTTTTTAAATTTAACCACAGAACAGTCTCATAATTTTGTACCTGGAGAGTTAGTTCACAAGCCAGCTCTGGAGTCTGTACCATCTTGAAAAAATCAGCATCGTTTTCTGCTTTTAATTTCAGGAATTCTGAAAGATCACAATTCCAATCAAAAAAGTAAATTGTCCTTTTCGTGATCTAACAACTTTCGAGGCGTATCACATTACTCATTTTTTTTTAATTATTGTAATAATATTTCATCAGCCAAGACAAATTATCATATAATAGCGTGGAAGGTTTAAAAAAAACTTCTTCGTAAATCACTTAATTGATGTTCCCCAATGCTTCCTTACTACTGAGAATTTTAAGTCTTTAATGAATGAAATATTTCATAAATTTTACTTAATAATCCCGATCATCTCATTATGGTGTCAAATCAATGAGGAGATGGAACACCTGATAAAGAAATAAAGGTAGAATTGTAGCTTCCTCGTAATTGGATGGGTCTCTTAAATATAGAAGATTTTCAGACGGCAATACCAATTACATAAGTCCAGTTTTTCCTTTCTTAAAAAGTGTTGTGTCACTGTCACGAAAGTTCCTCACCTGGCAGATAGCGACCCGCTTGCCGCATGACCCAAATGGGTGCTCGCTCTGTCACTTCGCCACGCGCAGCTCGTAAAATCAGATCATTTTTCAGATCTGGGAAACCATTCTCCATTTCACAATTGGCCATCTTACAATAAATTTTCCTTCTCCAAACTCACGAGTTCCGGAAAAGTACATGGCACAGAACGGGGCGGGGAGCTGGGTTCCATTTTCCGCGCAAAGGTCCACGGGTTACTTCACAAGGGCCGCCATTTTGCCGGGGTCTACAGGATGTTGGGATTAATTTCTCGTCAAGCGCCTCGTCTTTTGAGACAACCAGGATCTTTGATCTTCAGGAGAAGTCTCGCTGATGGTGGCCCTGCGGTTTCTCTTACATTTGGATCGCCTTCAGAGGTGTGTTTTGTATAGAAGACACTTCTGTAACAACATGTGCACGGGTTACCACCATTCTATGATTTACAGATCTAATATAAATTTTGGATAATCTAACCATCGTATTGAGGGACTCTTTGAGGTTGAATGTTTATATGTGCTTGGAAATTAAATTGGATATTAATTAAAATCATACAGTTGTTGAGGAGATGTGTCAAATTAACAGCTGTTGATTACTCAATGTTATTCATCAAAATCAACACAGCTTCAAATATTAGTTCTTCAGATGGAAATCTTTCGGAAGTAGTTCAAACATGTGTCCATGATGGATTTGTAGTGAGCCAGTTATGAATTACCTCTAGCCTTCTGCATTCATCACACTTCTACAGCCAGTTGTTCAACAGCTCACAAATACATGTAAACTTTTGCCATATCCTCTTTCTAAATGAATGTGGGAATACTCGCCCATTACACCCTAATATTGATAGATCTGCATATTCTCCATACTATTCTCCGTACATTTCGTAAGGTACTGACAAAGAGAACTTGTTTGAGAGTCAAGAGCCTCTTAAGTTGGCTACCGTTTGATTTATTCTCATCACCATAATAGTTGATTTAGTAGTGATACTGTGAGGAGAAGTTAGATTTTAGTCACTCTTAAGAGTTCAAGGGTTAAAGCACCTCAGGATAATTGACTGTGAATGATTTTCTCCAAGTAGATTGAGGATACTCCACATTGTGGTCATTAACTATTTGCTAGTCAAGAACAGCAATTTTTTCATGATTACATTGCATTTAAAAGAATTGTTTTGGCTTTTGGCCAATTAATTTGTTTCTGTTTTTGTGTAGTCATTTTATTCAGAAGCTGAAGTGAAGCAAGTTGATCTTTCAACCACAGCTGGTAGTTTTGGTATTCTGGCCAACCATGTTCCCACTCTGGCAACTCTGCGACCAGGCCTTTTGACTGTAACTGATGAAGAAGGTGTTCATAAATATTTTGGTGAGTATTGAAAATAGAGTAATAGAGTTTAGTGAAAAATGGTTATTCAGTGTTTGAAACAGGCATACTCAGAAATAACGAACTTTTAGTTTTCCCAAAAGGAGTTGTAACTATGACCTTCTCGTTGGTACTTGAGATACTCATGCTTTCCAGTTGTACAAACATGGCTTCCAGTCTCCTCCCAATCTGAGTCTACTTATGTTGGTCTTGATCATTTAATAATTCTTGTTAATTCAGGATTACTGACAAACTCAAAAAACAGTGAATACTTGAAATATTTCAGAAATGTTTATTAAGTTGAGATAAGTCACCTAGATGTTATTAAACTAAAATACCACAAACTCATAACATGAACTATTTCATTTAATCTTTTGTTCATTTTGACACTTCATTCCTGTAATATCTCAGTGCTCATAGGTATCTCACTTTGCCAGCAAAACTTTTTGAAGGATTTGATAATCTCCTGTTTTTTATAAGATTTTTCCAACAGATGAGTTTAGAGGTTTTATTGATTAACTCAAAATCAGCTTTAGATTTTGCACTTATATAAATCATACCAAAACAATGAATAGTTGTGGTTGGGAATATGATGTCTTGTATAACTAGGGGTGTATAACTGCATGGATTTTTTAGAGTTAACTTGCTGCGAGAGATGTTGGCACTGACTTTCCTTTCAACTTCCTCCTTCCAGCAAGCAGTGGTACAGTGACCATTAATGCTGACTCTACAGTTCAAATTCTTGCTGAGGAAGCCCATCCCATAGACAGATTTGATCCACAGGTATGTCATTTAACCTTTTAAATTCAGGATCTGATTGTTAATTCTCCCCTTTAGCCATCACACATTTCCTTGTAAATAAGTTATCAGAATTTAGTGTCAGATCAAGATCACTCATACCTGATAAGTTTGAGTATTCTCATTACCTGTTTGCTGGGCAGTGTAGTGATAATAATTATTATTGGAAGAGGTTACATGTTACTCACTTCTGGGAATAAAAGTGTTTAATACATGTAGCTAGAACCAAACTGTATTTACTCCAGCAGGGAGAATTTCTTTTTTCAGACACCCAAATGTAGGACTCTGGCAATTCTTTATTTAAAGCTTGGAATTACAGTAGCATGTGGCAGTTAGAGACAATACATATAACCCTTTCACTTCCAAGATCAACTGTCAAATTCTCAGTGCTGTCTGCCTTAAATTTTGCAAGTTTTTTTGCAACGAGAGTTTGATGTGAAATCAAACAGTATTCCTTTGATGATGTTTTTCTTTCTTCTCTTCACCCATCTGGTTAAAAATGTTTTGATCCTGAAAAGAGAAATCCCCCTCCTGGTCATGCTTGTGGTAGTGGAAGGGTTAAGAGATTGAAATGAAAAGTTAATTTGGTTTTGCTTCTATAATTGAGTGGTGGCCATATTTTCATTAACTACCTTAATCAATGAAGATTGTTACAATAGCTACTTTTTGCAAGTTCAAAGTACCCAACTTAAAATAAATCATTTAAAAAAATCAATATAGTAATGAATGTAGAAAAGGCTCTCAGGGTTCTTGTCATATTTAATAACTGTCTTGTTTTCCTTATTCAGGCTGTTACCCAACAGTTAGATCAAGCTCAACAAAGCTTATCAAATGCAGCAAATGATGAAGAGAAAGCAAAAGCACAAATTGCAGTGGAGTGTCTAGATGCTTTAAATAAAGCCTTGGGACATTGATAATAACTCATTACTTCTCCTTTTTTTTTTTCTACTTGAATAAACTCTGAAAGGCACACAAGATTTCGACTGTGGTGGTGTTGGTGTAATGTTTGCCTCTAACCTGTAAAATCATCATTTGACAATGTACTAAGTTTTTGTGGCCTCTTCATGGCTCACCACTATTATATCTTGTCTTCAGAAAAAGTGGCAATGCAAATTGCTTGTAGAGTTATTTTGTATTGAATAAAATGTGATTAAAGCTTACACACACTCTTTGCTACCATCAAATGAATGATAATATTAATTACCATTTTGTTTTTCTTGTCTGGGCTCGAACATTACACTTGTTTTGATTGGCACTTAAATGATTTTTGAGATAATATTTTATGCAAAATACAACACAGTAGGGTTGAAAATAGGCCTTTAATAACTACTGCTGTACTGCTTCCTTTCATTGACTCTCTCCATTAACCCTTTAACTCCCATTAGTGACCAAGACAGAATTTCTCCTTACAATATCAATACAATATCAAGCAGACAAGTGATGAGAATAAAGACAAATATCAATTTGGGGATAATTAGTTGATCCAATACTAAATTCTCTAAACTAACATTGTAAGAATTGTATGGTTGACAGTAAGGAGAATTACAAATTTGATCTGGGAGTTAAAGGATTAAAGAAGCCCTGGCCAGAATTTCAAGGAAGTCAGATTTTAAAGTGAGTCCTTAACACCTCATTTTCTCCACACACAGCCAATAGAAATCACTCAATCAATTATGTCAACATTGCATAAGATGTCATTCGGTGCAATGGACTTTCTGGGGAAAGAGAAAAATGCCTGTAGTACAACTGGGCTTATTTCAGTAGTATCCCTTTGATCAGTCAACCCTTTTACTCCCAAGATCTTGTTAGTAATTCTCCTTACTGTCTACCATACAATTCTTGTGATGCTAGTTAGAAGAATTTGGTTTCAGATGAATTAATGATCCCCTAATTGATGATTTTCTTCATTCTGATCACTTATCTTTTTGAAATTTTAAGGAGAAATTCTGCCTCAGTAACTCATAACACTCTGGGAGTCAAAGGGTCAAAAAGATACCTGGTAAACTAAAATTTTAGGCCCATAGATGTGTATCTAGTTTTAAAAGCCATCACATTGTCATCCCTCAATGCATTTTCCACAGCATCGGTATCATTCAACCTTCAAGGTAACTCAACTTACTTATCCACTATATTGAATATCAATATCAGTAGGATCCTGGGAACAACTAAGTCCATATTTCCCACAGGTCTTTTCGAGCGTAGTCTACTTCCGCCATATTGCACTTGTCTGAAAAGTCTCATTGCGATGGATTTAAGGTTTGGATATCGGTTTATTCGTGTAATCTTCGTACTAATGCAAGCTCCAATGTTATGAGTGTTTATGAGGAATTGACTGAAGTGTTTTGCCTAGTTGCAGGCACCTAGGCAAGGATAACAAATTATGACGGTCTTCTCACATCAGCGATTAATGGTAAGCTGGTAATTTTACGTTTAATTTGGCTTTTATTTGGATAATGTATTTGTAAATCTTAGGAAAACTGCAGAATACTTCGCTGCTGCATGATCTTTCTGTTTCCTCCACCTGTTTGAGCTGTTATAAACGAGGCGTTTAAATGCAGCAGTCACAACTTTGTATTCAATGAAATGCAAATGAGCTTTTGTTAAGGTAATCTGCAGCCAAGCTATAATTTAACTGAAAGCGTCGATTTTATTTGTTGTGAAACTAGATCATTGATTATAGAGCTATTTCATATCCTCACTGAGAAAAGCTTTTTCTAAAGAGATTTTTCTATAACCAAATACCATTCCAAAACAAAGCAGTAGTTCCAAAGGGGAACTATTTTTTCCAGCCAATGGTTTCCTATATCAGTTAATTACGCATTTTGAAGTATGAGGCTTTATGGAAATCTTGCCCTTTTTACTGGTTGTTGAGGCATGTCCAAGTGTGCTTTAACTTAACCCTTTCACTCCCAAATCTCTTTAGTAATTCTCCTTATTGTTTGCAATACAATTTTCATATTGTTAGTTCAGAGAATTTTTTATTTACATTTCTTTTCATTATCATCACTTCTCTGTTTGATATTGTATTGGTAGTATTGGGTGAAATTCTGTCATGGTTACTAAAGAAATTTAAAAGGGCCAAGTCTTGAGTGTTAGGATTTTTTTTCGGCTGTTCTATTAATATATACTGTAAACAACAGTACATAAGCCGCACCTTTTTCCCAAAATTTCTGTAACAGATCAGGGGTTAAACTTATCTGGGAGAACATCTGGAAATTGTGCAAGAAATTTAGTGTAAGTTAAACTATTCAATCAAAATTTTTGTCTTATCAAATGCCTGGCCACTAAGCTACAAATAATGCCAAAAATTAACTAAAGATTTCCTCCAAGTGTTTCTTTTCTGTGAATGCCACTTTTCTGTTGATGTTTATAGTAACTGACTGAATAATTTTTTGATTGACAGACTGACTGTATATCCCTGGTTCTCCTTTCATTTTTAAGAAATGTATCCAAAAAACTTTTTATTTCCCTTCTAAAAATTTGTTCTCAAACAAGCAACGTACAGCCGCTAAGTTTCACATTCATTGCCAATGTTTGCTTGATAATGTACTAAAAATTTGAGAATTTGAGAAATTTTGAATTTATTTATCAATTGGTATTTCATCTTATTTTCTCCAGGTCAGATGTCTGATGAACAAGTGGACCTGAAGCTTCAAGAGCAGATTTATTTCAGGATGCTTGTTTTATTTTGCAATCCAGCTGTAAGGTGAACCAGATAAACAAACTCTTTTAATAAGCCAAGCTTTGAGTTGATGCAAGGTGGTAAATGCATGATGCTGCTAACTTAGCACAAAGCAGCATCAGTGCATGTGGGACATAAACTTAAAATTCACCTCAGACATGCAGTGTATCAATTTATTGTGGATTAAGGTGGCACTTTTAGAGTTTTTTTGGAACAGTTGACTCTTTGATTTGCAATTCTGTAAAGGACCAGACTGCCAGATACTGTAGATGACTAGAAATTTATTTGAGGGAGCAAATTGTCACAAGAAGCTGTATTGGTGGTTTGTTTAATTTTAATATTTCCAAATTGAAGACTTACCAATTCACCATTGTTCTTATCACTACTGGATGAACTTGGGAACTAGTGCTGGGCAACATGTCTAGCATAGGGAACTGGCTACAACTGAGGTACCGTCAAGTGAAAAAAAAAGCTGAGGGTCCAATCAATCTGATTTGCAAACTGAAAGTTCACTGACTGACAAACTGACTGACCAGCTAACTGACAAACAAAAAGACTTACTGACTGACTGTCCTATTGACTGATGGACTTACTGAGAGAGAGACTGATTGACTGACTGGTTATATGAATGAAGAACTGACTGACTGACTGGCTAGCTGACTGACTGACTGATAGACTGGCTTACTGATAGAATGATTGCCTGACTGACTGACTGACAAACTGAAAGACTTGCATGCACTGACTAGCTAGCTGACTGACTGAATAACAGGCTCAATGGCAGGCTGAAAGACTGGGTAACTGACAGACTCACAGACTGACTGACACACTGAATGACAGACAAACTGATGGACTGATAGCCTCACTGACTGAGTAACAGATAGACAGACTGAAGGACTGACTGTCTGACTGACAGACTAAATGATGGACTTACTAGCATACCAAAAGATTGACTGACAGACAGACAGAGTGATGGGTGACAAGCTGACTGGCTGGCTGACTGGCTGATGATCAGTTGCTCAGCCTGCTAGGGAAACATTTAGATGGACAGTCAGTGGCTTCACTGATTGTGAGCCATGCACATAGGGTATAGATGGAACAGCATCAAATAGCAGTTTCTATACTTCAATTTGTCAACTGTTACAAAATATATTGGAGGTGACAAGACCTTGAATCCACAATAGTAAGTACTCATTCAATAATGAAATTAATAGTTTATTGTTTGAGTGATGGTCTGCCTTAAAGTGACTCACTGACCTACATGTACCTTTTGTACAACATACCCCAGAACATGTTTGCTACAGTTCAGCTAAAGATCCAGAAAATTCTTCAAGGTTGTAGGAAATACAGAAACTTTACTTGGATGGAGAAAAAATTGAAATTTTAATAGAAAATGTTTGAAAAATTGAAATCATAGCACCACAATGCATCCAGTTGTCATTGTTTTTATTGAGGCCACAATTTTGTTGCCAGGTGCTATTGCTCTGGTAAATAACTGACTAACGTGTAGACTCGCCGATAAACTGACTGACCCAATTGATAAACTGGATGACTGACTGTTAGAATACTGACAGAATGACTTATTACATGTAGTTTAAGAAACTAACTAACTAAATGACTGACTCAAATAATCAGTTAATGGAATGGCTGACTTGTCAATAGACTCACTGACACATTGACAAGGTGAATAAATGACTTAAAGATTGACTGAATCAATGAATACCTGAACGAATGACTCACCTACAAACTCAATTGGTTGCTGACTGTCTTGGGGATTGATGAATAATTGACTGCCTGACTACCTGACTCATTCATTGACTGCCTGACTACCTGACTCATTCATTGACTGACTGACTCATATGTTGACTGACTGTTGGACTAAAGGGGTAAGGCTTACTTACTGAGGTACTTACTGGCTGACTGATTGACATACTGGCAGGCTGATTGTCTTATTGACTGAGTGGCTGACTGACTGACTGACTGACAGACTAACTGACTGACTAATTGACTGGCTGACTGACTGACTGACTGACTGACTGACTTACTGGCTGACTGATTGACTGACTGACTGATTGACATACTGGCAAGCTGATTGTCTTATTGACTGAGTGGCTGACTGACTGAGTTACTGCCTGACTGATTAATTAACTGACTGACTGGCTGACCAACCGACTGAGTTACTTAGTGGCTGACTGATTGATTAACTGACTGACTGACTGACAGACAAACTTACTGGCAGACTGATTTCTTATTGACTCACTGGCTGACTGACTGAGTTACTTGCAGCCATACTGATTGATTAACTGACTGACTGAGTTATTTAGTGGCTGACTGATTGATTAACCAACTGACTGAGTTACTTAGTGGCTGGCTGATTGACCAACTGACTGAATGGTTGACTGACTAATTCATGTAATGAATGACTACTGAATGAATAAGAGAACAGAACAAAAACTTACTAATTAAATTACCTCCTCTCAGATTGACTTTCTGACTGATGACTGTCCAGGTGGCTATAACTATTTGACTTCTGGTTGGAAAACTAATTCACAAACTTACTTGCAACCAGATAACTTTGGTCACACATAAGTGTGCTACAAAGCTGTTTAAAACTTGGGTAATTCTCAAGAATTTAAACTGAAGAACAAAATGAGATGCAGGTAACCAGACATGTTCATGGGTTTGTATGAGCACCTGGTTTCCTAGCAGTTCTCTAATCTCGTGTGCCTTTCTTTGTGACACACTGCATGTCTGGGTTATTTACTACAGTCAAACATCCTTGTTAAGGTAGCCAAAACAAACATCCTTATGATGTGAATCCATTCCATGTGACACATTAAGGAAAGTCCTTATGTTGTTTTATGTGGATAATTCAACCTCTTAAGAGGATCTGATGATGAGTAAGTTTTGTTAAACCTCTCCTGGTTATCCTCCTTTAAATTTGAGTAAAATCTTGACAATTTATTCTCCAAAAAGCCTCTGAAACATGTATTTAATATTGCAGCAGGAAGTCTCCAATTTATTTCAAGTTTTTCACTCCGTGAAGGTCATTAAAATAAACAATAACCCAATTCGTAGAGTTACTGTGTTTAACCAAATTATCTTATTGCTGCGTTACATTCACCTTGTGTGACAAAACTGACTGAATTCTTTGTAACAAATGAACTGCAGTAGATTTTCATTTTCCTAAAAATATTTTAGGACTAGGGACATTAAAATTTCTGGTCAATTATCGACGGAATGACTGAAATTCATATTTTCAATAGATTGCGCGTCAGAGTGACGTTGTGTGACTAAATTATGTAACACGCGTTGTGTGACCGTAAATAGGAGACAAAACGTATCGAACAATTAGAACAAATGTGAACTATTTTGGGCAATATCTAACTTACTTTTGAAAAATTTAGGGTCCGTTTCACAGCCGATTAAGTTTCATGAGGATCTCAAAACGTTGTAAAGAAGCAAAGATTTAAAAGTTTCGACTTTCAATAAGAAATGCGTGTAAAATGACAGGGAAAATTTGCATACTTGTTTTGATTTCAAGTTCTTTTAGTTCTTTTTCTTCAAAATTAAAACTTGACTACGATGCTGCTGCAATCTTGAATGTATATTTCCTGTTAAAGTCAAACGCACTGGGAAACTATATGGGGAACGTATTTCCGTGACAGTATTTTAAAGTCTTTGCAAAACTTTGGCTTATTATTGTGAGTTTATCTGGTTCACTTTTAAATGGTTGGATTGTAAAGTAAAGCAACACAGAAATGAAGATGACAATATTTTATTGATGAAATAAAATTGTCTGTCTTGTCCATCACTTTATTTCAGGAAAAAAAAAATCAATAAATTATTCCAACTTTAGAATCCTGGTAAGTTTTATCTGATCCGTTAGTTCAAGCCGGGGACAGTTGAACACTTAGAAGAGTCGACCACTTGCTCCCAAGTAGGGAGGGTCAGGGTAAAGGAAAGTGAGAGTTTGCTTCCAATGCCTCCAGGGTCTTTCTCCTAATTTGTCACAATATCACACCTGATCAATTTGGAATTAATTATTTGAAAAAAAATTAAAATTCAAGTCAATGTATCAAAAACTAAAGTGATATACCTCCGCGGCAATAGGAAATTATTTTAGCTCGCAATTGCGCCGTAAATTTAGTAGAATAAAACCTAATTGAATTAGAAATGTTCCCAACCTGGGCAAAAAAACCGAAGCGCTAACTTGCGGTGCCCAATTTTCAATGCATCGTCACTGAAAGCAAGGAAAGATACTGAATCGCACTAGTCTGGTTTGACTTTATCACACAAATGTCACCAAAGAGCACAAGTCGCTAAACGTCTCTCATCAGTGAAGATACCCATACCAGAATCTCTCTCTTTAATCTAGATGAAATTAATTTGGGCGATTTTTATCCTAATAACAACGGGAAGGGTTTAGTCTTACATTTACTAAATAATATTTTGCGTAAGGTTTTATTTAACTATGCACATTCGGCTTAGTTTGTTTGTTGACCATTTCAAATCACAAGACGTAGATGGAGAATTGTTCCTTTTCGATTTTCAATCATGCACGTGCATGCAAAGGACTCATTGGAGGGGAAAAACCAAAGAACAAATCTCCAGAGAACGTCCGTGATCTGAGACAGGCAATCAACAAACAAAGCTGAACGAGCCTTGAACTAAGTAATAAAAAAAAAATCTAGAATAAACCTGGGAAGTTTTTAAAAAACTAAGAAGCGCTGATTATAATAGAGAAATGGAAAAAATTACCTAACGCTCCTCTAGTTTTACTTATTTATACGATTTGCATTAGCTTTAAATCCTCCCTCGGTTAGATATTTTTAATTAAGGCGAAATTGTGTTTTTATTTTATGCTAATTATCCCTAAGGATGTTCCAGCACAAAATTATCTGTGACTGGACCATTGCGTCACGAACTCACGAACAGCTACGTGAAGACTATTAAGTAAGATCTATATTGTAAAGTTATGCAATGAAATAAAAGAGTAACCTAGATACGTATCCATTTATGCTACATATATTGCCTTATTTATTTTCATCTTCAAG